TGATTAGTTCCACTTTGTTTATAATAGAAAATCACATAATAGCGCAAATTCTACCGCAAAAAATACTATTTAAACTACGAACTGCACGATTCCGAGTTAAAGGCTTGCACGGCGTAATCAAAACAATAACATACTATCATCATCCCGAATGAGTATGAGTGTTACGACGCAATAGCTGAGCTGAAGTACGGGAGGGGGGAAGGGCGGGAGACAGAGAGCCAGACGAAGTTTATATCTTCCATAGTCGGCGCGTGGTATGCAGGTAATTCAGGTAATCACAAAGCCCGAAATGAAGTTTCGCGTCTATTTGAAGCTTGTAGTTGAAAGGACGCCTCGAACTGGACAGACTCACGCCGGGTTAAATAGGAAAAAATTGGCCGACTGTCCGTTCATACATAATACATGAGCTGAATTTGAGATGAGATAAGACGGAAAAAATTTGTCGGTACTGTTGCGAGCATTTGGCAACCGTGGAAACTACGACAGCGCATGCTGAATTTATCGCTGAGGCGCAATTTTCAAAAGAGCGGATGTAGTTTCGAAACTGCGGGAATTTTTTTGAAGCACTTGAAACTTCTCCGATCATCTCTGAAGAGCTTATAAACTTTTACAGTCTTTTTACGGGTGCATAATGTTTGATCTATATAACGGCATATTATTTACTTATTCATGACACTCGTGTAAAATGAACACTTATAGTTTTACGACAGAATTCATTACATACTTACATAATCGTTTAATAAAAACGATTTCAAATTTAGAATTGAGGGGACCTCTGTGAAGACAGAGTCATTTGTAAAAGAAAATATTTAAAGAGTTTAGGTGCATTCCTTTTGTGAAAAGTGAGAGAGCCTTCACAAATAATTGCTTGATGCACTTTTTTGGCAAAATTTCTTGGCCTTTTTTATTTAGATTGCAATTTGCAAAAAGGAAAAGGAATGCCCCTAAAATTGTGCAATTTTTTTACTTTGCAAATATAAACGGATCACCCACCAGAACAATTTTTATCTTTACTCCCAGTAATCTATGAATTCGAGACAAAAATTACCTTCGTAAATGTAAGTTTTCACATGATTTCAGTCACTTCTTGCAAAGAATGTAAGTTGCACAATTCTAGCAACATTGGAATGCTATTGATTCCTTTTTGCAAAATGCAATCCATAGGTCTATGAAATTTATTCTGAAGTGTTGAATGAAAAGGCCTGAAGGAATAGGAAGAAAAGGATTGGCAGATAAGAGAAAAAACACTCATCAACGTAAAATGTTAACAATGTAAAAATATAACTGTTTATTATTTTCGATTTTTTTTTTTTTAAATTACATGAATTTACAGGGAAATAAAATTAAAATACAAATATAACAATTTCAACAAAATGCTGCACTTCAGAGAGGAGGGGTAAAAATAGCCAGTTAGCGGAGAATCAATTTTATGCTTCATGAGTGGACAGCAAGAGGAGTGGAAACTGGGTGTTTTACACGTTGGATGTGTACTTGCTTAGGAGCCATTCATAAAATACATAACATTATGACTCGGAATTTGTGAACCCCCCTCCCTCTTCCTCGTAACACACCTGAAACACAAGTCTACACCTTTCTAAAAATACATACTTCTGAGGCTGACCCCCCTCAAAATTGGCATTGGGTAAAGAATTTTAGATGAAAAATTGCAGACTTGCATCGAATTTTCATCTTAGAGTTTCAAAAAATCGACACTATAGGTTTCACAACCTCCCGTATCGTAAGAGCATTACGTAGTTTATGAACTGCTCCTAAGTTTAAGTGAGAAGAGAGTTTCACAGGTTTCATAAATAGCATCAGATATACATGTTGTTCAAGTCTAAACAAACAAACAAACAAGATTAGAAGCAGAATTTGATCTGGCTTTTGATAACAACAGCTGAAAATGATTCTCTTATAAAAGCCAAGTTATGACTCATCGAAAAAAACAAATTATGTAACGTGTCTTAGTCCTTTTGACTTGAGCCTTTTGGTTATGAAACCCCAATTTACCGATCATTACCAGTACTGAGGCAGATAGCTGCCTCTTGTGTGATAGGTGAACGTTTCGGTTGCCAGGTGAGGTTTCAAACCGACTTTTGCCTTTTTTCCCTATTCCCCTCTTGGAAGAGTCAGACTTTGGGGGCTGTATCATAGTCGTTTCTTGAAGACCTCCTCTCCTCAGGAGGACCCACAGGTTAACACTATAACTAAGGAAGCCTAAAACAACACATTGTAAAGTACGAAAGAAAAACTATTTTGATTTGGACAAACTTTAAGGTAGGTGCAAACCTAACTTGAAGTATGCTAAACTTGCAAAATATTATCTGTTGTACTGCACATTCTTTGGTGGCGGAAAATCGTGGTAATTCCACGAAAAAATCATTTTCAGAGTTATAATGATGGATTTTACTTGAGATTTGCAAAAATTGTCGATTAAATGATATCATCTTCAAAGTATCTGCAAACCTCCCTTGATCACAAATGGGACCTCCCAAGGTGCGGAGTTGTTTAAGAAACATCTTTTGAATACAGCCCTTCGTCTCATTTCTCATTACTTGAAGGGATCAAGCATGCCTAATATTTCATGGAACATATAAGGGGTGCTCCGGCAACAAAGGGGACCGTTCTTCTTATAAAAATACAAACAGCATTGACAAACTGTGATGCAAGGTTACAATCTCACATCGAAATAAATAATTACTGAAATAATTTTTCCTGCTACAGTTAGCCTAGGAAATTCCTTGTAAAGTTAAAAAAATTCATGAAAAATAAAAAAAATACGAGTAAAAAAATGATAAACAAAATGTACTGTCAAATCACAGTTTCATTTCCCGATGAAAAATCATTTCATCTAATGTGCAAGTCTTTTTCCTCGTTTATTACTTTGTAAAAAGAATGAAAAAGACTTTAATACGTGCTGATCAAAACAAGGCATACAGTTGCATAAGTACGATAATTCAGCTTAATTAAAATGACACTTGAAAGGTATATAATCTCATAAAAGTAATGGTAACTTTACAAAATGAAAATAATTTATAACTGTTCACAAGGCAAAAAAAACTTCCAATGAATGCATCTCTTTTAAAAATAAAGGGATGAAATGCTAAGTGGTGTGATGCAAATTGTAGAGACAAGTGTATGATGTCTTCGCAAAGGATACAAATGGATTTCTTTTTAACAAAAAGGAAATTCTGGAAAAATTGGATGATATGAAAAGATATTTTAGACAGCTTAAAAAGTTAAATGAGGTGTACCCTATTATGATTTGAATTGACATCAAAATGCATGACACTCAAGGATAAACTTCGCAAGACAGTTTTGATAGAACTATAAAAAAAGTTGATTAAATTTACTGCAGCGATTAAGTGATAATATAAAATGTATACACGTTTAGCTTGGTTTGAGGAGAGAGAAACAAATTTATCAGAATATTTTCAACAATTAATATAATGAAGGACAAATTAAAAGAGAAAAAAATTAAATTAGGCCGTTACTTGGAAAGAAAACGGTTATTACTTCTACTTAAAGGTGTTTCTCCACCTTAAAGTAACACAAACCTCACCTGAAATACTATAACCGGTTCATCCTTTTCAAGAATTGGTCACTTAACTCTTTTTACCTACGTTTTCAGCAAAAAGAGGGTAAAACATGAACAATTTTAATTTTGAAATCTTAAACTAACAAAAATTTAATTTTTTAAACCTGTACAAATAATTGTTGAGCAATCCATGTTGGGTACCTGGATGTGGAGAGCATGGTCATGAATGAGACAAATTACTCGCTTAGCGGTAGAAATTAATTATTACGACATAATAAATAGCCGCTCTTACATAACTTTCAGGTGTAGCATTCTCTTAAAACAATAGGTACGAAAATCATCTCCGTACATAATGTAATAGATTTTTAACTTGGGGATGGGATAATTTATTGATATAATTTATAGTTAAATAAAAAATGAAAGGAAAGATATGTTCATGAAAGTGCCTCATCTTCTATTGAAGCTTACTTTCAAGTAACTTTACGAGTTACCAAATGATGGTAATTACAAAATCTTTAAGAAAAATAATACATGCTATATTAAAAAATTATCCTAAAATGATCTTGGATTCTGCAGGTATAAAAACAGAATCCAACAATTGACAGTGATAAGGAAGCTCCGGGGATTTTCATTAGGCTTTCGGAATAAATAAATATTGGGCGGTGACTCCCTTTACTATTACTGGAAATGAAGATTTAAACTTGACATATTGTATTACGATTTTGTGCAACTTTAGTGAAGCAAAACAACAATTAAGAATTTCAAGAGTCTGGATCAGTTGACTGAATACTCTGCCGTGCTAAGGAAGAACGCCGTATGAACATTCGAGAATTGCCTTACTTCCCTGGATAAGACATGTATTTTTGACAAAGTTTAAGCATATTTTTCCTTGAAATTTTCAGACATTGTAGATTAGATTGCGAACAAAATAGTCTGAAAAATTGGAAGAAAAATATTTACAATTTCCCCAATAAATTTGTATTATATCAGAGAAAATTTAGCAACGCTTGGAGGTTCATACGGCGTTCTTCCTTAGCACGGCAGTACTGATGATGGTGGCATGGCAATACCAGCAATATCGAGGGCTAAGAAACTATACTGCCTCACGGACAATTTTGGCGAAAATGAGTTAGCGATTTTGCTGCTTCTACAGTATACGTGCAGTACAGTATACACGATTAGTTTTTCCCAATTTCACATGAAAGCACTGTATTAACACTGTAATGTATAAAAAAGTGCAATTACAACATCAAAATTACAAAAATGGCCAAGTTTTTTTCTTCTTCCTGCAAAATTGTCAGTTTATAGATAGGTGGTATCGTTTCTCATCCATCGATATATAATATTGGAATCTAGAAAATTTAGATTTTCCAGTCTTTAATGGACTTCACCAGATTTTAAAAATTCTTATGTTTCTTCGAACCTTTCTAATTACTTTTATGACTTAAGAATATGCGAATGGTGCAACTAAAGTGCCATGCACTCAAGTATTAAATCATTAAATTTGAGGCACTAGGCGCAAGAAGGGCACTTCTTGGTTGCAGAGTTTTAGAATCTCTGCTGTTAATTTAAATTGTATGAAAAAGACTAACTGGTGATTTTTCTGAATTATATCTTTTGAAACATTATGAAAACAAATATGTAGAATGTTCAGTATGAGTTTCAACAAAATAAATGCATTCACTTTCCTTAGAACAGATGAAATTTTAGCTCAGATTTTGAGGAGCTGCAACCAAGAGGTGTCCATTTGGCAACTACCTTTTTGATTGATCAGTTCGTCTATAGAAGGGCATATTATAAGATTGATCTTTGTTTTGAAAATAAAATATAATGTTGATCTGACACTCTGGTGCGGCAGTAAAGGCCAGTATGTCCATAGCCACTTTCTCAGAGCTTCAAATGAGTTTTAAAAAAAACAAATATTTTTCAAAGACGCCCTTCTATGGGCAAACTCTTTAATTACTGTGCATCATTCATTGTTTTTGATTAGTTTTGAAAGTAATATACATATCATGGGTGATTGAGTTTTTTCTTCTCAGCATTTTTCTGGGTAATAAAATAAGAATATAAAAACATAGTAAGTACGAAAATAATTGTAAAAGCTGAAGAAACGTAACAGAAACTAGTCCTGTAGTCAAAGAGTAAGCAGCAATCTAAACAACAGCTTTGAAAAGTAGGAAAAGTAAAAAAGTAATTGAAAAAACATTCTTAAAAATCAAAAGGAGTTCCTGAAGATTATTGCACTTCTTGTAAAAATCAAGGACACTATGCAGAAGAAAAATTAACATTTTAGTGGCCTGTTTACTTAGTTTTTCATATTACTTAGTATGTGTGCATATCAAAATACTTGAGGAAGCGTAAAGGAAAAGATTGAAAATTGAGAAGGGGTGTGATGTGGTTGTGATACAGGAAAGCGAATTATATTTGTTCCCAGTGTGACAAAACAAAGCAGGGTTGGTTTACATGTCACTGAACCAATACTTAAAGCATTCTGACAACTGAATTCTGTTCCCCTCTTTCAACTCATTTTTGAAAACATTAATTATACTGACGGGTGATGTTATCAGTTATCAAGTCATATATTGATGACATTAAAAGTAGGACATGTTTTTTTGTCAAAAATCCTCTTATAACATGACAGTGAACAATAGCACTGAAACAAATTATCCATGTGTGTGAAATAATGCGCATACCTGATGTGATGTAACTTAAGCTGTACCTGATTAGTAAAATAAGTAACGTAACATTTTATACTAAAATAAAACATTCCTCAAAGCTGGACGGAGCAAATTTAATACTCAAAGAATTTAAATTTTGAGAACTACGATGGGAGCAAAACAGTGCTCTCCGTTGGATTGGTCGAGGAACTTGATAAATTGGTGCTCCCGTGTGCCGGTGACGAATTGGAACTAGAATTCGAGCTTAAATCTACTCTTTCACTATTTTCTGGGGGTTTATCACAGTTTGCAGAATTATTGATGATAGGTTCATTCCTTGTAACTATCAGTGACGAACTAGCTTCAGATACCGGGTAATTCTGTCGGATGTGCTGCCGAACTCCATAAGTTCGAGAATATCTTCGATTAGATCCGAGTCTTCTGATACGTCTCCCATGACTCAATTGTCGTGGAGGCATTGGCTGCAGAGGTTGGAGGATTGGAGGTGGATAGTCTCCAATTGCTACTGAATAGGCAGGAGGAGGTTCTCGATGGAAGAACTCATCATCGATTAATGGCGGCAAAGTTCCTGACTGATTTAACCTGTCAGACATAAAAATTAAGTTAGACTTGTTTAATGTTACCTGTTCTTTTGGGTTTCTCTTTTGTAATGGAGATGTTGCATGTGTGAGGAATTTGCGATTTGACTGTTAATTCTTATGTAAAAGTTTGCGAGAGACATGATGGTGCCACTGGTTTTCTCTGAAATCAACTTCCAAGCTCGAAAAAAGCTCTCGAGTTGACACCAAAATGGAGGGGATATCCCACGCTATCCTGAGAGTCTACCTCTACATCAAGACGAACTCTCTATGCAAAGATAGGGAGCAAATACATTGGCAGTGATGCCGTGTTTTCAGTTTTAGAGTCTCCAAATATAGTGGCAGCCCTGTCAATGTATTTGCTCCCTATCTTTGCATGAAGAGTTTGTCTTGATGTAGAGGTGGACTCTCAGGGTAAGGTGGGATATCACCTCCATTTTGGCCTCAACTTGAGAGCTTTTTTTGAGCTTGGGAGTTGATTTTAGAGAAAACCAGTCGCTCCATCGTGTTTCTCGCGAACTTTTATATAAGAATCAATAGTCACCAAAAAGCGGTTTGGTGTCTTTTTATCAGTTTGCTGCTTGTTGTGCGTTTAATTTTGCCGTGAGTAGAAAAAATTTGACTCAGCTTGTAGAAAGTTTAACGAGTTTTAACTGTGGAAATAACCAATTTTGTCGTCCGATCAACTCCTGGCAAGTCGCTGGCCATAATCCGCCAAAAAGGCCGATTTTAAGCCATTTTTGCCAAATTTGGCAACATCTTGGTGACAATTTTTTTATGAAATGGTCAAATTTGGATTCAGCGCCAAAAATTACATAGGAAACCATGGAATTAATGCTACCGGGTGTTTTTGGAGGCTAAAATTTCTATCTGCCCGGACTCAAAAAGCGTCGTCGCTCCATAAAGCTGTTTACAAAAATGATGATATCTCGCGAACCGAAAGTTTCCCTGCAAGCTATAATATATCGATGGATGCGGAATCAAACAAACTATCGATTAAACAACTTTTCATTCAAATTTGAAGATAGCTTTTTTGGGTATTTGCGGATTTGTAAAATTTGTCGAATTTAAAAATCGAAAAATTGGCAACAATGCGTGTTAAAATTAATGCGACATTAAAAAATGGTCATTTCCTAAAAGTGCGCAATTTTTAGAGAATTTTCGTTAAAACCGCAACTTCATGGCTCAATTTTAATGCCACTTACGGAATTCACCCGTTTTCAACTTGGCAACGCTGTAGCGCACGGGAAAAATTTCGGGTGAACTTGCCAGTGCCGGAAAAAGGCGTGTCTTGTGATAGGGAACAACATATCCAACTCCGGGCAAAATCCAAGCGTAGGGCAAAATCGCCGATTTTGAATAACCCTCTTTACAAGTATAATTACTAACTTTGGTAATTGAGAATGTGACAATCTTTGAACAAACCTTAGCCTTGAGGTTAAGTGTGGAGAGACATGGAATCTTGCATGGCTTAGCCGCAAACTGTAAAGGCGGCAAGTGCATGCTACAGCTATTATTAGCAAGAGTCCGCAAAGGAGGACACCCATCACTGCAGCAGCAATTAATGTGTTCTGAAAAAATTGATCGAAAATTCTTAAACTGAAGTTGTAAAATCTAGTTACAATGGCTTTTGGTCATTATGAGAAAGCTCAGAATGCTAAGAACAGGAAATGCATACAGCACAAAATGTTCTCAAAAAGTATTGAAGCACCGGTCATAGAAAACTTGGAAAAACATGCAGAAAAGCCCACATCCGGCAATCCTGTAGGATTGTAAGGGTCAAAGTAGGCGAGCATTTGAATCAAATTGAAAAAGCTAAAATGAAAGGTCAGCAGTTGTGACTCATTGTTGGACCAAGAAACATAACATTAAATTCCCCCTATCTTTTTAAAGCACATCAATGATAGATTCTAACTAACACCATGGGAAAAAATTAACATTCACAAATACAAACACCAGAACTTGAACTTGGACATGGCCGGTGCCGGAAAAAAAATATTTAGCATGTTGGATCCCATAGGCACAAGAAAAATGGGGAAATAAGAAAGAAACAGCAAGGGGTTTTGCAGTGGATCAGTCATTGGTGATATTCATCCTGTAGATACAAAACAATTCCGCTTTTCATAAAATTTGACATGCTTTGTGAGTGGAAACATAGAATAGTATTTTAATTATAAAGCAAGAATAACAAGCAAGATAGTGTGTACTACTGACTTTGGCCTGTGGCCCGTCAGTAATACTTAAAGCGGAAGTGTCCTCTCTTCCGAGTTTGAAAAAAAAAAGCAAGAATAATATAATTTTGAAGAATAATGAAACAAGGGAATTTTCTGATACTAGCGTGAAAAGATATTCTTTATGCTGATATGCTAATAATGAACCCTGTTTTAGGTTTCGGATAAAACTTCAAACTGTTAGATTGCCCAACATTGAAACGCATCACGGTGTGTCTTTCTTAATCAAAGTGTCTCTACAAATGTAAATTTTTATAAGAATAGAAATTTTTAACTCTGATCATATGGTTTCCTAAAGCTGCAACTAACAACGCAAACACCAGATTCTTTGGTGAGAGCTTTTAACAGGCTTTGAAGATGACTATTTATCTGATCGGGAAAAGATTCAGAACTTACCCTGAAACAGGTTGTTTCATCACTTTCATCACCGCAATCGTCGATACCATTGCACCAGAGTTGAGAGGGAATACAGTTTCCGTTATCACAAATTCGTTTGCCCACATCACATTTTACTGGGCTATTTGGACAATTGTATTCATCTGAGTTATCAGTACAATCTTTTATGGAGTCACATCGTTGACTTTTGAAGTAACATTTCTTCCCACTTGCACACCTGATGCTCTGGTTACATTCTGGAACTGTCAAAAGAATTTATTTTTTCAGTAAAGTCAAGGACAAGTTGCGCTGGCAGTAAAAGGGAACAGCTTCGATTGAGAAGTAAATGGTAATTACATACAAAAGTAAGAAAACCGTGAGAAGATTCAAATTTCATGACAGGAGTCAGTTACAATGAGGAAAAAAGTAATTTTTTTTTTAAATTAAGAAAATTTTGTGCTATGACTATCTTAATCACTCTGATTGAAAATCCTTTGCACTTAATTTAACATAATTTTTCGCACTGTTAAACCCTATTTCAGATAAGTTCTCGATCTTTTGATCGACCATTTGCGTGAAAAATGAAAAGGCTGTGAATATCGGGAAGGTCAGCATTAAATCAGGAGTTTCTTTAAAACTTACAATTAAATTCTCGCAAAATCACAGCAAGTTGTGAATAAAGGACGAAAAACAAAGTCATGGCTTTGAAAATTTTGGAAAACAATGGATGTTTAAATGAAAAGGCCAATCCAAAAAATGAAGTTCGAAAAATAGAAGGCTAAACATTTTTTGCATCCCTCCCTGCCCAATCCTCAAAAACCAAGCAACCTATCCGGTTGATTTTGGTTTCATTTTAAAGAAGATATTGAAAGAAATCAATTAAGGTGATTCGTCAAGCTCAAAAGAAGTGGTCGAACTGGTATGCGATATATCGCATCTTTTAGGTCAATAATCTCGGCAGATTTTGAATTTTCAGTAAAAAAAAGGACGATATCCCCTGCGCATGAGCCTAAAGAATCATTCTAAACCCAAAAATCGGCAAAATTCAGAGAAATGAAAGCAGGATAGTGTTTGGAAAAAAACCTCGCATTCGATTCAGCTATCGATTTCGATATCGAATGCGAGGTTTTTTTCCAAACACTATCCCGCTTTCATTTCTCTGAATTTTGCCGATTTTTGGGTTTAGAATGATTCTTCAGGCTCATGCGCAGGGGCTATCGTCCTTTTTTTTGCTGAAAATTCAGAATCTGCCAAGATTATTGACCTAAAAGATGCGATATATCGCATGCCAGTTCAACCACATCTTGACGAATCACCTTAAGACTAAAATCAGCTTAATGTAACAAAAATTGACAAAGATATGTCGGTTTGAATAAGGAATGTATGAAGATCATCTTTAGTTTGTTATTAATTCTGACTGAAAAGTGCCGCTTAAATTTTTGAGTACTCTTTTGCCCATGAGTAACACTTGGCAACATCAAACATGACTTAGTAGCAGTCTTGTTGTTGTATGACTTGATAGGTGACTATGGTAATGGAAAAAACGCTGGGAATGAAAGTCAGGTTTACCACAGATGTTAGAAAATGAAATTTTCTGACATTTCCCTGCCATATTTTGGTAAACTTCCCTGACAGTTAAGGATAATCTGGATTGTTAAAAAGATAGATCTTTGTAGTCCATGCATAAACAGTTCTTTTTCAAGGCTTCATAAAATGTTAATAAAATAATAAATAAATAAAATTAAAATAATGTTCTAGTTTCTTACACCTTAGCAATTGTCACCTCCTAAATTGCCACATAATTAGAAGTTAAAAGAATCTTGGGTACATTTAGGTAAACTCAAAGATATTCAAAGCTTTAGAAATTTGAAAAAGATTCAAGGACCTACAAAAATTCAAAATCCTGACAGACGTCATGAACTCTACCCTTTTAGAACGAAAATGGTAAAATTTCCAAGGATCATACAGAAGATTTGAGAAAAAAAATTGGCGAGGAGAACGTTACTCACAGCAACCAATTTTGTCTTCACCAAGTGGGCAATGAGGTATGCCACATCACATTTTCGAGTTGTGCGATTAAAAGAATCTTGGGTACATTTTAGTTTCTTTTATCTTAGCAATTGTCATCTCCTGAATTGCCACATGATTAGAAGTTAAAAGAATCTTGGGAGCATTTTGGTAAACTCAAGGAGATTCAAAGATTAAATAATTTGAAAAAAATTCAAAGATATACATAAATTAAAAAACCTATTAGACATCATAAACCATACCCTCTCAAAGGAAAATAGTAAAATTTCCAGGAATTATACAGAATATTTGAGAGAAAAAAAACTGGAGAGGAGATTGATACTCACAGCAACCAATTTCATCTTCACCAAAAGGGCAATGAGGTATACCATCACATTTCTGAGTTGTAGGATTAAAACATTCATTCATTCCAGGATCTGCATTGCATAAAACTTTACCTGGCTCACAGAACTCTGAAAAGAAGCAAGGGCAGAAATAATAAAAAATGAGTTTATTTAATTTTTCGATCGTCACTTAAGGACAAAATCCTTCCTTTAAGCTGAGATTTCCTCTTACTGCGATCGTTGTTTACTTCTTGTTACATTCTCATCATGCTGGTCAGTTATGTTGTCCTCACTGCCTTCTAAAAATTCAATGGAGGACAAGACCCGTGTTTTACGGAGATTTGCAGTTACTGAAAATCAGGGCCGCAAAATTTAAAAAATGAATATTCCTGACACGTTTTCGTAAAATTTCCTGATGGTTGAAAATTTATCAGATGGAAAAAAGACATGATTTGAAATACTTTTCATGCAAAATTTGTGGTTCTAATTGTCAAAGCCATTCAAGCAAATAAGTAAAGGTGACTTAAGAATTTTTCCCGGACATTTTCAGGTTTTCCTTGACTTTTGAAAATTTCCCGACATTTTCCAGTTTTTCCTAACATGGCAACCCTACATATGCTCTTTACTGTGTATATCTTACACTTGTGAACTTGATATTTTAGACTGATAGCTGTTTGTTGTATGTATGAATGAATGAATAAATCTATAAAAAAATGAATACATGAATGAATAAATAAATGGAGCATCAGCAAATCGCATGCTTGGCGGTAAAGGATAATGGAGGGACTTGAAAGACAAGGCGCATAAAAGCAGTTATTGCTTTTTTGAGAGATACATGTTGAAGCTTCGAAATTAAATGGATCCTTATGAGGAAAAGAAAGTTCAAACTGACTTTTTGATGCTTAAAAATTGGAATTTGGGAGATAATTTTTCACAGAATGTGCATCAAGACTAGTTTCATTTGAAATCATTCATACTTCAATTTTTTCAAAAACTGCACTTATGCGCCTTGTCCTCAAAGTCCCTCAATGTTGGTACAATGCATCTTGGATTTATTATTGCTGATATTTCATTCTTTATTACAGGAGAAACAGAACATATGAATGGAACATTCGAGTTTTTCTTGAAGATTCTGGTATATTTCGGTTTTCAACATCTTCAATAATGAAACATCAAATGGATCTAATTTAATAGAAAAAATAGAACTGAATTTTGGAAAAAATTAGTTGGGAGTAGTTTTGAATTCAAATAAAGGTATATTTTCTTCTGTCAAAAACTTACTGCAGTTGAACTCGTCACTGTAGTCAGCACAATCTGGTTTCCGATCGCACCGCTGAGCAAATGAAAAACAAGCTAAGTTAGAGCACCTGAGCCCACAAGACGACTGACTGTAGTGGCAATCTGATTCGTCCCTTTTTGAAGGACAGTCAAAGACCCCATTGCACCTTTGAGTGGCATTATCAAAGCAGCCATCTTCTTGAAGTGGGCCGCATGGCACTTGGTTCTTTCCATAGCATTCCACTGAAACAAAATGCAAAAAAATTGCTAGTCACATGTATTTGCTTGGACAGTATTCATTAGGATTAAAGCAAGTATATTTGACCTCCTAAAATGGGAATTAATCCTTGAAGCTGATTTCAGCCAACTAATCCGCTGAAAGACGCTGTTCACAAAAAATTTGAATCACGAAAAAAAGGATTTGAGCGTTCAATAAAAAATAATAATACGCAGATTGTGAAGCACAATGGTGAAAATTATAATGGACACTTCCTACTCAATACTCATTGTTTCCTTTAAATTATCAATCAACTTAATTGTGAAGACTATTGTAGGATATATTTCATGAGTAATTTGTGAAAACAGAATAAGCATATAAAATACACTTTATATCCAGTTAAAGAAGTAAATAAATAAAATTAAGTGTAAATTATTATTTTACAGTTATTTTATTTTCTGTAAAAACTTGTAGCTTACAGTCAAAGCAGATGGCTGTGGGGGCTCGAAACATACTGGGCTCCCGCACGCTGCATGAGCATTGAAAAGTCATAACTGCAAGGTTTTGTGTTTATATGCATTTTTGGGTCGTTTTCAAAAAAATCAGATCGTTAAAAAATTGGTGAAAGCTCCTCTTCCATCCAATGTCGCTGCCACTATTGGGTCCTGAAACTTCCATGAGAAAAAGGAGGGCACGGGAGCGGTTTTGTCCCTTAAAAGGTTCTTTACTCAGGAGGTTCATGGATTAATTCTTGGCCATGCAATCCGAGGTTGATAGTCTCAGACACTTGCAGGGTATTAGATGTAAAAAAACAATACTTTAATTTTAAATGCAGAAGCGAAGCTTGAATCACGGACAATTGGTATTTTCCCGTTTGAAGCTATGGTGAAAAATTGATTATTGGGGTGTTCGTTGCGAACATTCTGATAAATGAGGCATTAGGTGCAAGAAAAGCATTTCTCGATTGTGGTGTTTCAGTATCTCCAGTACTAATTTTGATTTTAGAGAGGAAACTATTAGGCGAATTTAAAGTTTTCAGCACTGTAAAATTATAAAGAATATATATACATTTGATTTAATCATAATGGATAAAACGATAGCGGAGATTTTGAGATACTTCAACCGAGAAATGCTTCTTCTGCACCCAGCACTTCAATTGATTCTTTTCCGGGTATATAAATGGCAGATTGAATGATTCATTGCAAAACTCGCCACACCACTATTTAAAATTAGTTGATGATGTTCAGAAACTTACTGTTGCAGTTCATTTCATCAGAATTGTCATTGCAGTTCTTCACATAGTCACACTGGAAAATACTGGGGATACACTCGCCTGAATTACATTGAAACATGTCGAAACCACATTTTTCTTGGAACAAGAGGGATTGTGAGTTATTTGCTAAAAAGAAAAAAAAATCAATGACAAATAAAATTAGGCCTCCAATAAAGTTGAAAGTACAACACTGGAGTCACACTAAGTCTTACATGTGATATTTCAACTTATAATGATTGTTGAAATGATGCCTCGTAAGTACGATATGTCCAATGGCTGGAAATAAATACAATTGTATGAACAGAGAGAGCACTACATTCTTGCATAAGAGCAAGCTTGAAATACTGCAAAAATAGGGGTGTAATATATACTTAAGATTCCATTTCATAAAGATAAAATATTCTGACTCTGGAGCCGCAGGAGACGGAGCAACCTTGTTCTGAGTGCGGTTATTGACAGAAAGAAATCTTGAGAGAACGAAAAAAAAAAAAAAAAAAAAAAAAAAAAATCCATCAAATATTCACTCAGTACAGCACTAGTGGAGGCAATTTCGTCAATTAAAATCCGCATACGATTATTGTTTCAATTCTGCAAGGTGGAGCTTAGCCAGACAATGGAAGAGCTTCCTACTTGAGTCCATAGGGTGTGGAACTGAGTATTATGTAGACCACTGAAGATCTGACTCCATGTCACTTTTCTCCCACTTAAGATTTTTTTACCTAATCTTTTTGATGTCATTCTTTCCTATTTATTTTAATTCACTTTTTTAAATGTAATAAGTATGTACCCAAGACTTTAATTTTAATTTATTTCTCTTTTTCTGCTATGTATTAACTATTGTAATTTGGTCTTTTCGATTGATTGTGGTATTGTTTTTTCCTTACTTTTGTTTTCGGACCTCTCGAGAAGGTTTGAATTTAAGCACTATGATGCACGTATTCTCATAAAAGTTTCACCTAGAAAACGATTTGTATGATAATTACTGAGAGTAACTCCTATCAAATATATTAACATTTTTTAATGTGCAAATTCAAACTTCCTGCTCATAAAAAAACAATAATAAACTTGAGTTAAATTGCACACTGAGTGTTTTGTGACAGTTTTTGGGGTGTGAAAATATGAAAACCTCCATATCGGCGCTTCGGCTCAACTATTGATAGATGTTTACACTTTGAATAACACAGAATGGGAAGTAACCCGGTTAAATGAAAAGTCTGCCAAAAACCATTGTAGTACAAAATTTGACTCAAGCAGACTATTGTTTTTCTTGTGAGTTGGGAATGCGAAGTTCCCGTACCCGATGTAAATAAAAAACGTTAATATCTTAGGAGTCGATAGAGAATTTGCAGGTGTCTGAAATTTCATGAATTTCGTGTTCAATTGGAAACTACTGAGTGAACTGAACACGAGGATACCCTTGGTTCATGAATTGAACAATTATTCGAGAAGATATGACAAAATGATCTAATCTGCTAAAATACGTGTGTTTAAATGGGAAGTACCACCAGATGACGTCACTAGGCAGTGCATTTTCTCACATTTAAATCTATTTTTATACTATTTCCCATATCAGAAAAAAATTATGAAAAATACTGTAAAATCTGCTCTTTAAGCATTTTTAGATGAGGCAATAAAACATTTGCATGCAAATTCTCCATTGAAGAATAAGAAAAATCTTACCAGAATCAAGGATTGGAAAAATTGAGTACTGAAGTAAGAACCCATTGTTGATCGGTTTTGGAGCCCCAGATGGCTTCTCAAAACCGTCTGATTCCATAACTTGAGATGTATCCTGATGGAAACGTATAGTAACTTTTTCATCCTTTGACACTTTAATTGTTTGTTGGTGCAATGGGTTACTGTTGCAATAAGTCTCATAGCCAGCTTTGCTTGTGAAGGATGGTAGAGCGAGCCACGAGTGACAGCAAGTGCTCGAATCACAGTGGCCATCGTTGTTGATGTTCAGATCTAAAACACTGCGAGAGAAAAATCCTCACATGTATCACTTCGAAAATGAGAGACATGAGCTGAAGGATGGGATTTAAACCTCTGTGGGAAATGTGTCCCTTTCAAAATTCAAAATAGAAAATGATGATTCGCTGGTTAAGATCTGAGGTAAAAGTTCACATTGCAATGCAGGCTTGCCACAGAAATTAGAAAATGAAATTCTAGACATTTCCCCGATTTACCAGACACATTTCGGTGATATTCCCTGACAACTGAAGAAATGCCAGATGGTGAATAGTTGTCCGCCAAAATTTGTTGTTCAAAACGAGCAACCCACTCCATTCTAAATAGAGACCAAATAAAGGTGACTTAACAATTTTTCCTTGATATTCTTGTCATTTTTTATGAAATTCCAAGGTTTTCCCTGACTTATCAAAATTCTCTGACATTTCTTGGTTTCCCCTGACTGAGGCGACTCAGTCTAGATTAGAATGTTTCAAAATGCATGGGTCTCCTTCACCTTCTTAATTAGGGTAATGTAGGTAATTTCTTGAAAATATTTGGTATTTCCACTCTCTATTTAGATCAAAAAAGAGGCAATGTTTAACAATGAAGCTGGCTTGCTGGCCTCCCACAAAATAAAGTAGGAGCAGAAATTTTGGAACAGTGCAATTAGAGACATGGTTTCCAAGTTTAATTGTTGAAACATAGGATTTTTTCATGATAGATTTTACTACTTTTGATGTTGTCTCTCAATTTTTCCAGGGGCGCAAATAGTTCTTAACCATGTGACTTGCAAGTCAAGACCAAATTGCTCGCATGTCCGGAAAATTGTGGGCATTCCAAGGTTTTTCTTTTTTTCTCCGTGCTGATTCATATCTCTTGCAAACAGTAAAATTCTAGCAAATATCTGAATGAAACTGCAAGTCTAATGAAAAAATGAACAAACCATTATAAGGCATGTTAATTTGATCTTTTTTAAGAAGCCCAGCGCTGTTCCAAAAAAGTATGGAGACATCTTCAAAAATTGCAGCCATTTAAACTTGTTTGCACCCTTGAATTTTCCCCCAAACCTCAAATTTGTCTCTTTTTTTTCCCACTGAATTTCATTTTGTTCATCCCAAACTAAATAAAAAATTAAAGCCATAATGAGTTATACAATTTTCACTTACTTAATTTGTAAATCACCAGTGGTGGGTGAGCTTATTGTCCAATCACAACTTATATTCCCTGCAGCTCTGAATGGGTAGTAAGGACTTGCTATGGTGCCATTCAGAGCTGAAAATTTCACTCCGCTGCATGATGTGCTCGATTCAGAAGCATCCGTTTCATATGTTTCATAGACAAGCACTAGAATAAGATAAATCACTAAATAGAATCATCTAATAGAAAAGAGAGGCAAAATTTCCCTGAACGCAAAAAAAAAACACTTCCCAAAGATCAAAAGATACCAATATGGGCCCCTTTACAACCTATGGACTATGCTGTACCTAATACAGTCATAAAATGGCATGCAGATTGTAGGTTGATATCTAAAATGTTACCATTATGTTTGTTTCTTTAATAACATAAGTATGAGTGCAGAGCACTCAAACTGAAATCGAAAATGCATATGTTCAATCAGCCAATCACCTCTTTTACTATTCAATACTGTCAGTCGTTATTTGTTTCGGTTCTTCTAAAATTTGAATTTCTTTTTTTTCTTCCTGTTTCTTTTTCTCTCTCTATTTTCTTACCTATTCTTTTGCTGTAGGTATTCTTCTTCTTTCTTCTCTTTTTTTTGTGCCAAATCTGATACCCTTTAATCTATTTTGTAAAACTGGATTGACCATACAAGCGCATGCTTATGGTCCGCCACCAATGAATTCTCATGCTTTGTTCAGTAAATGTGCATTTCGAAAATAAAATAAGCAGACAGACTATCTATCTATTTTATCCTCAGCTGAGGAGATAATCATACGTTCTTTTAAGTTTCACATTTATACTTTTTTCCGCCTTCAATATTGTTCACGATCACATTTTCCTCCAAAAGATAAGACAGCTTTCCAGCGGTCGTGAGAAGCCAGATTGTAAGAAGAAAACATAGATTGTGCCTGAGGTACATGGACATGCTATTTACGTTTGAGTGAATACACTATTGCATTTTCCACAACTTGACCTATTTGCAAACGCAAGAGTCGACTCCCAAAAAAAATTCAAGATGACATTATACATACCAATGAGCAGAAGAGCAGCAAAGTTATTCATCACGCTGATTTAAACATCAGCTTCTCTTAATGTGAAAGCCCAATGCAGTGACATCTAAACCTAAGAGTAATAACAGAGTGCAACTTTAAAATGAGTAAAAACGATATGAAGGAGTTACAATTGCACAAGAGAGCTGCAGACAGTAGGGTAGCAATAACTTAACCACACAAACGGCCATTTGTTTGAAAAATAAGAGGGCTGGCAAAAATGTATGGTTAGTGGAATTTTTGTTTCATTCCTCTGAAGTAACTGGACTTGAAAAGGCTTGCTACTTCCAGCACAGAAAACAGTTAGTTATTAATGGCAATAGTGCAAAACTAAGTATCTCCATTCATGACAATTCAGAATTCCCTTCATATTTTAATTTTACTTTAGAAAGCTAGTCCATGTCCATGATTTTTCTTCTCTGTTAGCATAATATTCGGTGTAAATTTCTGGCTATAAAAAGTTGGCTTTTTTCTCTTTGACAAAATAAAATGGGAACGGAAATTTTGAAAAACTGCGGTGGAGATAAGTGGTTTTACATTTTGGCTCTCAATGTGCTATTTCAAGTAGAAAAAAGAATGCAATGCACTGTTGATACTGCATGGTGAAGGCTGTCTGGACAAGGAATGTGAGAAGCTCACTTGTAAGCGTTTCAACGAGTAAACATAAGTAAAAATTAGATACATTTCCAGTTTATTACCTATTAAAAAACTCCAAAGGTTAAGGGACTGACATCGTAAAAACTTGTTTACTCAAAAAATTAATCTACAGTCGCGCCACACATAATGGTGAATATATCAACACCTGGTTCTAAGAGCTGAGTAAAGTTTGAAGCTATTACTTAGGTCCGAGTTCAATGACACTTGAAATCAATGTCATGAGTTGTGCGGACTGCTTTATTATGAGATGGAATGTGTTCTAGCAAAAATTAAAGATTCTGAACTTACAGAAAATAAGTTTTCATAGCCTCTTCAGAAACAATGAAACTGTGATGACCCTTGTTGAAGGACAATCCACAGAGTAGAAAGAAAATTAATTTTCAAGACTAAAATATAACTGCTGATTTACCTGTTACAATTGAAATCCTACTTGAGAGTGGAAAGGCATGCAAAAACCAAAATTTAGAGAGTGAAAAAATAGCTTTCACTCACTTACCTTCATCTGCCGCATGCATCTGATTAAATGATGATCAGTGCTGATAGAATTACTAAGCAGTAGGAGATGAAAGAGAAATGATGGCTAGCACTTCTGGTAACTTAATTCTGATTGATTATCAAAGACTTTTGCTATGAAATGCAAAAAAACGGCTGAGGAGGAACTGGGAACCTAAATAAAAATTAGGTTACCCATGGATTAGAGAGATGCAAATTACTGCTTGGAGGTGAGATTGAAAAGATTTCATGTGAGAAATACCGCTGAGGTATAGAAATCACTGATACATCCTAGTGAAAACTTAAAAATTAATTACACTAATTACCTACTCTACGATTATCACTAATTATTTTAAGAATTACATTTAAAAAAAGAGTGAAATTGAAAAAAATAAACATATGGACATAACCCTACTTTCTTACATCCCAATTCCCAATTCCCATAGAGAAAAAAAAGGAGGTGTGTTTGCATCTTGGGGTTTGTTTACTATGTGACGTAGGTCGGTACAACCTGGCCAGCGAAATCCGGAATTCGAAGTATGAAAAACGGACCATAACGTCCAATTTTTTTTACTTAAATCAACTCATAATAAAATTTCAAGCACTTTTTATAGAATGACTTTTTTCCATAAATTACACTATTTCCAAGAAAATCGATGATAAAAGTCGCTGTACCGACATACGTCATCAAAAAAATTCCAAGATGCCCGGGTCCTGGCCTGAGCATTCTGTGTCTGTCCACGATCCACGTCAGAGAATCAGAACAATCCAAATCATGTAGTGAAGTGACCAAGACCAATTTTTCGAGTATGGAATAATATATGATCGTGCTAACATAAAGTGATTGCTTTCTAAATTTCATTCCACTTCAGTTAACCATTTATATCATCATACCTCAGAGTGAGATATGCTCCCAAAATGTTCGCAAACGATTCATGATTTATTTTCTGAGGTACATTCAGTGGTTTCTTGTGACATGGGATTTAGAATATATTCAAACCAAGATTTGATTCGGTTACCAAATACATCCCGATATGCTCCCTATCAGTGTAAGTATTTATTACTAACTTTTTACCCCTCATGCCATTCGGCTGTATCGACATGTGTCAGGAGGCAAACAATCCTCAAGATGCGAACACCTCCTTCTTTTCTCTATAGCGATACTGATACTGGCTCTGTTGCACGGGGACTATGAAGGTCTCTCGAATTGAGGTTCTCAAGATTCAGGCTTCTAAGAGCAAGATCGGCAGTATTGACCCTAAGAGCCTGATCTTTCTAAATTGTTTTCGCTGTCTTGAATCATGTACCTATGCACAGCTGCTGCTGTGAGGTGTCAAACCATTGGTATTAAGTCAAATTTGAGTTCCTTTACATATTAAGGTGGGATTCAAGCCTGTCGGTGCATGCAAACCAACAGAATCTAATTTGCTCATAGTGTGCCTCAGCTGTATTAGGGGATTCCTGATTCATAGAAAAATTCTGCTCTCCTTGAACCGCAAGAAATTCTTGGGCTGGATGTATTGTACGTTGAAAGTCTGAGTGGTTGTCCAGTTTTGAGAATTTTTGATGGGCGCATACTTGAATCCCTTGGTAGAGCAGTCCTTCCCGTCTGAGTTGCATTTGTGGTCAAGACTAGTTGAGACTGGGCCGAGACTTTTATTAGTGAGATCATACTCGATGGCATGGCCAATAGACCCAGGTCAGTCTGTTAGGATAGGTCTGTCTGCGGTTCAAAATGATTCCCGCAATTTGCTTGTCCCACTCTTCTGTTGTTCCAATACGGGCAAATTGGTCCTATGCTGTTTGGGGAAACTATGCAATAGAGCAGCAGTGCAAATCGGGGAAACACATGTGGGAAGTAGTGAAACAGCAAAACTGGGGACTTTGTCGCTAGATCGGGAAATTTCAAAGTACATACTTTTATTGAACTGATCTGGGTTTATTTACCTTGCCTGCTGTGAGGTTACAAACAGTAGGTATCGCTGGCGCATTTCGATTTGCAGGCGAAAGCCTGGTCATGATCTCAAACGTCTTAGGAGCCTAAGGTCAAAGAGAACACGCAGATCCTTGCACTTGAGATTGGTTGCACCCTTGAGGTCACCCGTTAACCAGACATACAATCCCTGCTAGTGTATAATGAATAAGACTGGTGAAATCAATTCCACTTGAGCAGTTGCTAGCTCATATCTTCGAATGTTCTCTGGCAGAAGAGATCATACTTACCAAAGTTTGAAGATAGTCAGGAATCCTTCTTAAGTTTCCAGATATGATGTGAAAGTGCTACTAACTAAAGGTTTATTTAAAAAAATAAAAAAAGCTCAATTAAACATTGTCTAGCTCTAAAAAAGAGGAAAAGGAAGTGTTGTATGGTAGTTCTTCCATAGGGCAGAGCACAGCATTCATTTATGGTTTGTTTTTTTTTTCTTATTTCAGGACTAATGTGCATTTGAAAGTTCAACAATGGAAGCTGGCACCAGTGATTATGATGGACAGGTCCTTGAGCTGAATTCTCTCCAGAACCTTATGAATTTTAAGAAGAAAAGTGTCCAAACAAAAAGCAGGGACTTCTTCGAAGAATTTGAACATTTAGGTGCAGTTCAACCCCTGAGTATTCATTGGCTTGTTCCCAAAAAAATCTATGATCATGTGGATGAAATTAAAGGAAAGGACAGTTCTAAAAAATGTAGGAAGAATTTGTCACAGGTAATCAATCAAATGGTTTCTATTTATAATAAGCAATTAAAAAAAGGCGATGTTAATTTAAAAGTATCGCAGTATACAAAAGATAAGTCTTGGAAGTGTCGTATTAATGGGAATGATATTCAAATTCTAATTTATAGCATCACAACATCTTTTGTAAAAGCCCTCTCAAGGCAAACACAAAGAAGGCCAAAAAAATCGAAGAAAAACGACTCTCTAGTTTTCCTCATTCAAAGTAAGCCCCAAGAACGTGTTATGGCCCTCACCACTGGTAATGCGTGGCAGGTTGTGTTAAAATTTTGCAACTATTCTTTTCCCATCAAAGTAACTGAAAAGGTTGGTGACCCCAGAAAAGTTATCTGTCTCGAAAAGAGAATGATATTCGGGTCAAACATTAAAGAAAAAGTAACAAAAGGACCTCAACGCAGTAAACTTACACCACTTAAAACCACAGATTTGTATTACCGTGTAGAAAATTTAAAATGTGACTTGAAGGACGATTCATCTTTATTTCAAAAAATCAGTTGTTTAATTAAGAAGACCAATGAAAGTGAAAGAGGCAGTGAAAGTGAAAATGAGAACGAAGACATCGATGAAAATGAAGATGATAATGAAAATGAATACAAAAATGGAGATGAAGATATTGCATTAAGTGGTAAGAAAAGGAAAAGAGAAAGAAAAATATACCGAATTTGGATTGAAGTCACAAAAAAGGGATTAAGGATAGGAAGAAAACTTCCACTCTTGATATATCCTAATCTTTTTGATTTATTTGCGAATTATGTGGAAAACATGCCCACTTTCAATATGGAAGGCACTAAAGAGACTGCTGATCCTATGTTTGCATTTTTGAAATTCTTCCAACCATCTCCAGTTCTAAAGAAAATACTAGATGAAGAATTGATAGATTTCATGTTCGAACGATGTTTGCACGGAGAAACGCCTGGTTTTGATGTGAGGCACCCTCATTGTGAAGATTATCTTCTTTCAAATCTTTTCAAAATCAAAATTGGCGATAAGTTCAAGAGGTTTGGATCTATGCCTCCTGAAATAGGAGATATAATAGAAATGACTGTCAACAAAAATATTGAAGAGATAGTGCTAAGTGACAAAGAAAAGTTTAAGAAAGGATTGCTTGAAGGGCAACTTAAATTCGAGTTGTACAATTGTCCGGACAAAAAACCCAAAGAACTTATAATTGATTGCATTGAAGGGCAGCTTCACTTTGAAAAGGCCTTCCATTGTAAAATTGGAAAAATGTGGTATATTCTTAATGAGGAGTATTTGTCTACTTTAAATGAAGATTTTCAGAGACTGTTAAAAGAGGCACTAATTGCAGAAAAATCGGAGTGGTGGTTGCACAAACGTTGGAAAGATACGGAAACTCTAAAAGCAGAGGACAAAGAAAGGATGAAGACTGAAGACAGAAGCAATGGAGAATCAAAAAAGGAGAAGAAACGTGAGGAAGAGGGAATATACAATCGATCTTATCTGTATGAAAAAGGATTTATTGTCTTGGACACAATTCTTCCACTTGGCATTGAATCCTGTGATCTCATTAAGTATGATGATAATTCAGTGTATCTATACCATGTCAAGAAGACTTTAGGACAGTCCACACGTGAGGCTTGCTCGCAAATTTTGAATGCGGCTGAGATGATTCGTGGAGCTATCACACTTTCTCAAGGATCTGAGTCCAGCAATTACTTAGAACGACTATGGCGAAAAATCACTGAGTATAATGGTGATGAAGAATGGAAGAAGGTTGTGGCAGAGCAGGTAAAAAATCTGAGCAAAAAATTTTTTTTTAATTTGTTCTGCTGTAAAAAAATTGTATTTGTCTATGCCTATGTGCCAAGTAGTAAATCTTTCTCCAGTTATTTAATAGGGGCTAATCAACCGCTTGAGGAAGAAGTCATCACAGAATTGTATAAAGCTAAATATTTCAATGAATACGAACAACTGACTGGAAAATTATTTTCCAAAACTCAATTATCATTTACACAGGAAATGTCCAGATATGGGAATAGAAGTGTAAAATATTGGGAAAAAATTTATTCAAAATTAGCAAATCGGAAATTTGGCAAAAGCTATATCGCTAAAATGGATCTAATAAGAGTCTCTGATCGCCTCCAAAAATTAAAGTTTGGATTCAAAATTTGTGAGATCCAAAAATATGAGATGCAGGCTGAGATTTCCCCAGGCTCAAGCTATGTAGTCTAGATCAATGAACATTACCACAGAACTGACAATTTTGGCAAAAAAGAGTTAGTGACTTTGCCGCATTTTAAACTACAAAATATGCAAGCTGACGATTTTAATTTTTTCTAATTCTATAAGGGAGCGCTTCAATGGTGCTTTGTTATATGGTAAAAATGCAAATCTAACCTTGAAATTAAGTACAAAAAAGACGAAATTTTCTCTTTGTTCTGCAAAATCATTAGTTTGCAGATAGGCGGTACAGTTCATGAACCATCAAAATTTAAGACATTTTGCAAAGTTTAACAGTGTTTTTATGTATACATAAAAAAGCTCAAGTTGTCATTTGAGCTCCAGTAACATGTCGACTGTGAAAGTCAGCAATCACATAATTCAGTTTGCGAGGCTGCAGATTTCCTGTCATACTTTATTTTTCAAACAGAAAACTACTCAATGGCAATTCTTCAAAACTGCCATGATACTTCTTTTATGTGCGAAAAAAGTTCTACCAAAACTTCAAGGTATGATGTCAATTTGTTCTCCTTTAAAAAAATAACATAGAGGCAGAGATTTTCAGACACCGCAAACATATGTGATTGCGAACTTACACCGTCGATAAATATAAAAACTAATGTACTGTACCTAAGTAGACAGATTTTTACCAGCAGCCAATTAAACTATGAAGGAAACACTTACCTACTATTTTTTTACATCATAACTTGTTTTTATGTTTTTAATGTGCTCTAACTTCTTATATCTGATGTCCTCAGGAAGTTTAGTACCTAATAAAAATAAAAGTGGAAGGGTGCTCCCAAAACTTAAGGAATACTTAAAATATATTTATTTTTAGGTACAACTCTTTCGCAATAGCTTTACGAGTAAAATTTCCCAGTGCAGTAAGAAATTATGTACCCTTTACTCACTGCTCTTCCTCTCAAACCCCAAAGGTCACTAGTTCATTATTAGGCTTTGTACCTGTCTAAAATTGCAGGGAAAACATCCTGTGGAGTGCACCTTTGCGAACCAATCCATAATAAATTGAAGGGTTCAGCGCATGAATGTGTTGAGACATGTTCTTTAAAAAATTCAAATATTGATTTTTTTGGATCAAACTTGCCGTTCTGTGCTACTCGTAAAAAGTTATATTTTGAAACTCTTATCTGTGGTTTTACATCAGTTTAAGTAATTAGGTAATCCTTTAGGCTCTTTGTAATTTTTCACTTTCATACCTTCTTTCTTAGAATCACAGAAATATCACACAACGTCCTCATGCAAGGGACACAACTTGTATGGTCAATCTTTTACGTCCATTTCTTACCTTTATCAATCTTTTATGTTCATTTAATTGAGGCGAATCTATGCTAGAAGTAAACAATCATTGAGACGTGAAACAAGTTTTGCTGGAGGACTGGTTTCGGTTCTAGTTTTTAGACTGAACAGAAACAGAACGGGTATGTCTGGAAGCAAATTTTGGCCGACTGTACCCGAAAAATCCCTTTTTCAAGCCCTAAATTGAAGAGTTAGTAGAAAGCGCACATTGTAAAGTTTGTCTTCTTTTATAAAATATATTTTACAGCATCTACACATCTTCATGAGTACCTTCTCATGTTTTCATGGTGATGCGATGCTCCTATGTAGGAGAGGTGAATACTTGCGAAGCCGCTTTTTCAAATCTTCAAAAGCACATTTCCAACAGATATTTTTCAAAACGCCTTTTTACAGCAAACTCTTCTATTAAAGTTGAAAGAATATAAATATCAAATATTACAAAACATCAAATCTCACTGGCAAAGTGAATGGTGAATTCTTAAGTTCAGATACTCTCAGCTTTAATTTGGAGTTTTCAAAGGATATTTTTTCGGAAATAGCCTGCTGAATTGAGCATCTTGGCATATCAGTTTCATTTACTTCTCTAATCTGAAAGTGGGGCCAGGATTTCAACAGGATCTATTCTTATTTCCAATGTAGATTCGCCTTGCTCAGTGCAATTTGAGCGAGTAATTGAATGCTGACATTCAGTTTTGTATGGAAGTATTCAAATTCAGAAGAACCTAGTGTACATCTTTTTTGTATCTTTTTTCCTTTCAAGATATTTATTTTGTGATCTGTATTTTAGGGTAGGTGGGAATAAAGAGCTGTCCATTTCAAGAAGTGCCATTTTTCTCAGGCTGCGACACTTTTTTGGAGAGAAAAGTGGTGACACAGTCACTTCCAACTGTTGAACATAGTTTGTGATGATCGTCTAATCTAAGAAATGACACTTCAGTGATCGTGAGACTTTATTTTTTTTAAAAAAAAATCTATTTTTGTAGTGGTATGCCGGGTACCAGATAGGACAAAATAAGTACTACAAATTACAAACATATGCTCACGGTCGGTGGGGCAAGGGGCTGCACATCATCATTTACTGCTATTTTATAGGAATTTACTCCCACCTACCCTGATTTTATTTAAACTTAAACCTGAATTTTTTTGAAAATTGAATGTGAAATTAAGGCTTAAGGAAGCTTAAATACATGTACATTAAGAATAATATTTTTAATGCTGCATTTTTAAAGTTCAGTGAGAGATTTAGCATAATGAGTTCATTGGATCTCATAGGCTTGAAAAGGTCACTCAACTTTAAAATGTATAAATGTCGTAGAATAAATAAAATACATAATAATTTTTGCGCAATATTTAAACAGTATCTTAAGCAAACAACATTTTTATTATATGTTCTTAATTTTTCTAGCTTCATGTCAAAGCTGACCTCTCGAAACCTGAGCATCAGGAAACGAAGGAGAGAGAGGGATCAAGGCAGACATTTTGTTTTTACCCAGAAAATACTGTTCTTTGCTTGCACTTCTATTATCCCCTTCCTCAGCCCTATTCTCCCTTGCTGGCTCACAGTAGGGCCATTGCGCCGAATCAAAATTAATTTTAATGATGTTACAAACCAGATTTTGGGAACTATTTTTTATCCAATGATCTCCATGAAGTGCATTCATCCAAGTACCAATTTATTAATAAATATTGAATAAGGGCAACGATTACTTACTTAACTCAACCTAAGTCTTTCAAATTGACTGATCTTTTTATAGTATGCAGATTTTTTTTATTAAGACTAGTTGCTTAAATGTATCATCACAGAAAGGCTGAAGCAGCCATAACGCTATGGCTATCAATTCTTATATATTATGCAGATTTATTTTTATTCATAAGACAGGGTAATGCATCAGTTCAGCAAAGCTGAAATCATTTATAACGTTGTTGTTCTCAATTGTTACCTCTTTTTTCCTCTGAAATTTATCTATCATTTTATGTTAACCATAACCTAGTCTTCTCGCAGCCATGACCAGGGACTGGTAACATTGTTTTTTAGCTTTTGTTTTTTTTTTTAGATTTTTTAATTTTTCTTTTTTGACGGCTGATAATGACTGGAAGACCAGTCGAAACGTCCCGTGCTTTGTAAATTAGTGTGTCTTTCTGCCTCGTCCCTGCCTTTTCTTGTCCTATTTTATATTCATGTTAACCTATGGATCTGATGAGTTTTTAACCTCTGTTAATTGATAGATGTAATTTTTTATTTTGATGTTTTCCCACTGGACATCCAGTGGATTGGAATATCACTGAAGTACTTAAAATCAATATGTCATATTATTTTTTCTAGTCTCATAGGGTCACTGTAATGCTGTGGCAAACATTGACTAAGTGCTAAGAACATGTGCTGGCCGAGGAACTAGCTACAAATTCTTAATGCATTATTAATCTACTCCATCGTTCCATATCTGCATTATCATCTCTGCACCATATTTTCTTCAAAAACACATCTGTATGGTAAGATTAATAAGTTATTTATTTGTTTTTTCCTTTCACATGTTCATCAATGATTTGTCTACTCACTTTCTTAAAGTATTACTTATTGTTAAAAAAATCTAACTTCTAAAATCTCAAGATCTCTTCTAAGCCCTCTCTAAACGATTCGTAATTTTTATTAAAACCAAGTTCGTCTTTCAGTCAGTTTCTAGTTTCAAATCAAAGTCTCAGGTTCTCAAAATTAACATAGTTTTTCGAGTTTGTGCTTACTGTAACTGGATGTATGTAAGTAATTAAGTATAGATAAGTTGCAGAGTTCTTGAGACTTAAAGCACTCTCTCTCCTCGTCCTTTTCTTCTCTCTTTCAGTAACCTTTTTTCTTTCTTGCTTATAAGACCCCATAAGAGAACATACTTCATCAGAGAAGTCATGATAGAAAAAAGTACCTGAACTTCAGATTTTCCTGGCTGAATCCCCAAGAATCACAATTTTCTCATCACAGTTTAAGTGCATTTTACATGTTTTGGTTCTCTTACATCATGAAGTGAATGAAAAAATTTGCATGTACTTTTTAATCTCTCTCTATTTTGTGCTATCACCAGTAGTCGTCTTTCAAATCTTGGTGTTCGACTCAACGTCAGCTCACCCGTCTATGAATATCAAGTTTACAATGTGTGCATTATCTTATCAACGCTTTTGAAAATTTACAGTTGAAATTTCTTTGTACGGTTGTGTAAAGTCCTTGGAAAAAAGAAGTCTGGGCAACCAGCAGCCAAATTATTAAAATTATGCCAGCCTGCAGCCTGATTGTTGAAATTTTTTGTTTGTCGGGACGACATAGATAACATAGGTTAAAAGGCGGATCGTGATTGGTTGGCTGTGTCTTATCGCTGCTTTGTCGTGCCTTTGTCAGGTGGAATGGACGACATACTGTCGAAAACTTACTGTCGGAAACTTAAGAGGTGCCGATAGCTTGTCGTGAGTTCCACCCGACATAGGCACGACAAAGCTGCGATAAGACATAGCCGACCATTCACGATCCGCCTTTTAACCTATGTCATCTATGTCGTCCCGACAAACAAAAAAAATTCAACAATCAGGCTGCTGACACGAAAAGACATAGCCCTATCTTAACCATGCAATATATTGCAATTCAATGTTTTATCGAGCTGCTTTAAACTTTCAGTAATCGGTCTGCAGACTGAGGAAGGGATGTTAAGAGGAACAGTTTCAAGAATAATATAATACATACATTTATACAATTATTTTATAAATTAATTTAATTTAATAATTATTTTATTAATTTATTTTTTAAGTCAGGGTTGGGAAATAAAGTAAACACAAGAGAAATGAATGCTTTAAAGTTTATTAATGCAAAACAACAATAAAAAGTTAGTACACCTTTTTTTAATAAGATATTTGTTTTAGTGAATAGAAAATATAGAAAATATAAAAACTTAAAAAAAAAAACTTGTGGTAGAAAATGAAAGAGAACCCAATTACCTAGTTAATAATCCCTATATAATATCATTTTTCACATACCTATCCATCACTTTTTTGAAAAGTTGTTTACTATTTACATATCAATCGGTTTTTTGAAAAGTTAATATGAATTAAAATCTGGGAGCAGACAAATTGATGGTAGAATATCCTGACCTGTTGTTGATTGAATTAGTACTCTTCTAATTCCTAATATGTAACAGTTTAAAAAATTAAGGGGATATTTTTTAAAAATAAACAATTTAACCATCAATAAATAAAATAAATTCGAACCATTACCTACTCTGTTTCTGAATTGATAATAGACAAAGAAAATTAATCAGAATCCATCAGTTTTTTTTTTTTGCTGTTTTTTTTTTTGCTTTTTTAAAGATATCTTTCCACATCCTCCTCTTCTTCCTCCTCCTCCTCATCATCATCATCACCCTCACCCTTAGAATCTTTATCTTTTTTCATAGTTTTTTGTTGTTTTTTTTCTGTACAGGTTTCTTAGTAATTTTTTTCTTTTTCTTTTCATCATCTTCATCGGACTCCTCTTTTTTGCTTAGCTTCTTTTTATTTTTCGTTTTTCCTTCCTCTTCCTCCGATTCTACTTTCCTCTGATTCCTCTCCTTCGTCTCTGCTTTGGTAGTTGATGTATACTTATTTACGTGATTTTCCTTCTGGTCCTAGGAATTTCAAATCATACACTACGTCGTTTATTTCTTCTAGTGCTTCATCCGAAGGATTTGTATTACATATTTTTGGTAAATACACTTTCCTAGTAATATTTTTCATAAGAATGGAGGCTGTAATAGCATCCCCAAATTGAGATTCTATCCACTCTATACTTAAGAGAGGGTATGACTTATTTTTTACCAGTTCTGTCAGTGAAATATTTTCATTGCTTACAAATGTTTGAATGGGGTTGAATTCTTCTATTTTTCTGAAACAAATAAGTAATAAAAGTGATTAAAAAACTAGTTATTTTCTTTTTCTTGGAAACACATAAGAAATTATCTGATTCTCTTGCTTGCTTCAATTGTAAAGTTTTGGTTAATTAAGAGTGTTCGTACGGTAATGTTTGTATATTATCTGACTGTGTTGCTCCAGAGGCCGAGTTTTATTGCATTCGCATTAAGTACTGATACGAGAGGCTCTAACTATTATATTTTCCAAGTGAGGCAGGGAAATTGATTTTTAAAAGAGGACCTGTTTGATATTCTTCATGACATCAAAATTCTGAAATTACCTTCAACTTTCATCTTCCTCAGAAAGTAGTGCGGTTTTGGTTACTATTTTTTGTTACAGGAGCATTGTGGTGGTGGACTGTCTTTAAAGCCTTTGAACAAAACCCGAAATTACTATTTATAATTTGGATTTCTGCCCTGATCATGGATTTATGGTGAGTTATAGTGGAGAGGACAATTTTTTTTTCAAATTCTATGATAACTCGGATGAGGAAAAGATGTATGAAGTATTAAAAGTTGAAATAAATTAAAAGAAATGTACGTACTCTGTCGTATATCTTATTCTAATATTTCAAACGTGAGTACAGTATCAATCCTACAATTAGTGATTTTCCTCAAGCTCCAGTCTGATCTTAAGCAGTGTGCATCCTGGAACAGAAAGAAAAATTAATCATTCATATTGTGAGTTTGAAAGTTAATGAATTGCTGATTTCCGGTATCTTGCAGAAAAAAAGTATTCCACTGGTCAGAATTCTGGATTTCCTAAGAATTTAAAAATGAATATTACCGACAACGAAACATAAACCAAGTGTCGTGTACTTCAGTTTCTCAACCTCAAAAAGTTTTTATAAATATATATTTATAATAATTATTGGTTAATCATGAAAATAAAATTCAACAGGCTGAATTTCATATCATTACCAGGTAAAATCCTAAATCTGTTATTCCAAGAACACACCTGTCACAACTAGTTTGACGGACACCTTTGCCAGAACTAATTTTGACTATTGAATTCTGGAATTGACTGTGAGTGTTTTCGAAGCAGTCAAAATCAATTTTGACAGCAGAGGTACTTTTTTCATGAAATGAAACACTTGGCAACGCACAACCACCATGATTGATGTCATTGTGGTTCACAATAACATAATTAATCAAGCAGCTAATATTGGACCCTATATAGTTTGAACTACAAAATAGCAGGTATCATTTTTCTGGATCCATAGTGACAAGGAGCATATCTAAATTTTACATTATTCAACTTTGGTATGAGAAGTGTCTTGGAGACGATTGTCAATGTGGATTTCAAGGTGATGCATAGAAAGCCTTAGTACATGACCCATTTAACTTTAATAAGTAAGCAAAAATTTATGACTCCCTATATTACATGAGTTAAACATAGGATTTTATTTGCATCATTAACAGGACTGCAATGAAGCATGTTCATCATCCATTTGCTGACTTTCATTCCAGTGATGTGGCATAAAGCATTTTCATTCTCCTTTAAAACACACACTTCTTAGAATTGCTCCTTACCAAAAATTTTGGATTTATATGTCATGTCACCATTTGTCCTGTTATGTATTTCATGTAAAATCCACTTAAACTCACTCCAGACAGTCTTGCTAGCCCTTGCCTCCAGGCCACACACGCGCCTCGCAACATCTGTTGCTAATTACAAGGAAAGTCTGTCCAGGCCTCGCCTATGTGCTTTCTTTTTTATTCCCCTATCACCAAACCCTTGCAGACCATCTTTTTGATGTTATGATCCACTTCTGTTCTTTTTGTTTGGAGCTCAGTCTGGTGAAGTGATCCGCCCAAAAATCATAGTCATTTTATTGTCATTCTTATGCATTTTTAGTGAATATATTTCTTTAAACTAGATTTACACGTGTTCTCTCCTTTTCTTCAAAGCAGTAATTTTTCTCACAGCATTTCTTATGTGTTCCTCTGCACTCATTATTGATAACCTGTCCCAATGAACATGCTCCATTTTAATTGAATGTCAATTTCTTCTTAGGCTGTCCAAAACACGTGCTTGGAGACTTGCAGTAGTGAGTAGGAGGCATCCAGAAAATCGATGGAGGTCGGATAGAATTTTCAATGAAATCATCCTAACCAATCCAATTTGGCGGCTGGATATAGGCAGACATGCTTGAACTTCTGCATTTAAGCGTTCATGGAGTGTTGTGGATCGTGCTGTGGACCTCTATTAGAAAAGTATAAAATTACCCTAATGACTCTTCTTCATTGGGAAGAAAGTGCCTTTTTAATTCAGAACATTCCTCTACTTATCTTGAAACTGCCTTAATTGTGCCATCAAATTAAAATTTGATGGCACAAACTTTATTGGGAAGAAAGTGCCTTTCTAATTCAGAACATTCCTCTACTTATCTTGAAACTGCCTTAATTCTTAATTTGATTGCACAAACATCCCAAAGTTTTTATCCTTCTCTATTAATTTTATTTTATGATTATTTGATTGTTAAATTTCTTTTAGTTTATCTGAAGAAGTGCTGAGTGACAAGAATTTTTTTCAGAGGAAACAATTAAAATTTTTGCGTATCCTAAGTTTTGGACTTCAGTTTTATTTCATCTACCTAGTTTGTTTGCTCTCATGTATTTAAGGGCTGGGTATTGTTAGGGATTAACTTGAAAAATAAAATGAGATTTCACTTATTTCAGCACTTCGACGGTGCAAGTCGGCAATCACATAACTCGTTTGCGGTGTCTGAAAATCTCCGCCTCGATGTTATTTTTTTAAAGGAGAACTAATTGACATCATTCTTTGAAGTTTTTGCAGAATTTTCTTCGCACAATGAAGAAAAATTATGGCAGTTTTAAAGAATTGCCGTTGAATAGTTTTCCGTTTAAAAAATAAAGTATGACAGGAAGTCTGCGACGTCGCAAACCGAGTTATGTGATTGCCGACTTGCACCGTCGACTTACAATTAAAGCCTCTGGAGATATCATTATTTTACAAACTAAAGGTTAAAAACCACATTGACTCTTTTTTTTTCCATAAACTTTAAACTGATGTTTTAAACAACCGAACGTGAAGTAAGAGTACTGAACTCTGAGAGAATGCAGAAAAATTTGAACACTTCAGCATCCTAAGAATCGGACGTTAGGTATTTTCTAAGAAAGATTTAAGACAAGTAAACCTAGTTTTGAATGCTCTTTTTCTCCATTGAAATCAAACTTGTGTGCTCTTTAAATTGCAAACAATTAAATGCAAAATTGTGACCATTAATTGTAACAAAACAATTAAATGCATGTTGAAAAATAAGAAAAGGTGCTCTGATGTGTGGTAGTTACTCATTTCTAAGCGATTTTTACCACACTAGATTTGGATCAGGAAACTTGAATCCCTAGATCTCAATCTAAATCCTCCCCAAGATTCAATGAACCACTAGACAAGATGCGAATATTTTGAAATGAATGAAGAAGTTTCCAAGAAAATTTCAATGAAAACTTTAGGCTTCTTTTCTTTTAAGAAAAATTTAAGAAATGTTGTAATCAGAGATCAGCATCTTTTTTATAAGCGATGAATATAAGAATTTTTTTTTGCACAAGCACTATGAAGCTTACTCTCACCTTTGTCATTAACAGAAGGAATACATTTTTAATCACAGGAATTGTCAATGAACAAACACATGTATATTTCAGGATAAATTACATAGCTTGCTCGTAGCTTGAATGGACCAAACGGTTGGTTACCAAGCAAATACCAGCAAACTATAGGTAGTAAGAGCATCAAAATGAATTCTTTTGAAAACAGAGGTTTAAAAGTATATAAAACATTTATTGGTGCAAGGATAACATTTTTAAATGCGAAGTATTAAAATGAGTTTGGCAAAAAATTTTCAAACAAGCCACACCATCTTGTCCAAAATAAGACCTCAGAAAAACTGGCATATTTTTCTAACTTACAACTAAGTATGGGCTCTTGATGAAGTTCTCGAAGCCAAAAAAGTCTGTGACAGCACATATCCAAGATAAGGAAGGATTTGCAGAGAAAGGCAATTAGAATAAATAATTGTGTTTGGAGGATCGTAAAAAACAAAGCAAATAAAATTATGATATGAAAATGAAATGGTCAAAAATTAAGTAAGTATGAGCATTTTAAAAACTCAAAGGAGAAAGGATATTGATCTCTCCCTACTACGTGAGGAGTCGAATAAAATTCTATCGAATTTTCCTTAAATGAAATTTTTTGGCAATGTATAAAATTATTACAGATCAAGTTTCTAATAGAGAGATTCATGAAGTCACTCTAATTTACATGCGCATCTGTCATCTTTGTTTCCTTTAAGAGTACTATGCATTTGTAAATCTTAGATCAAAAAAAGGGAAAGATTCACAATCGCTGATGGTAAATATTTCCAATACTTCAGCTTTAGGTGCCCTTCTTAAAATGAACATGAAGAGAAAGAAGAATAATAGCTCTTGCAATGTTCAATGTCTGATACATGCCCGACCCAAATTACCCGTTGTAGGTATAGTTAAAAAGTTACTTTGATGGTACAAAGTATCTATTTTTATCCCTAACATTGTGAAATTATCACAAGAACCAAAATAACTAATACCACTGATGAGGTGACATTTGAATATCGTCTGAAAAAGGTTGGGTTTAAGTCTTGATATTGAGCATCGTAACAGCTACAATGGTTTGGGCTGATAGAAACGATGCCAAGGTGATCATTGTTGTTCAAAAAAAATTGAGGGAAAAGAGCCAATTTATGAAGAGCCAATGCAGGGTGGCCCAGTGTTATCGCTGCTGGCCTGCAGTTAGCCCAAACAACTACTTTTTCTCTTTGAGAGACAACAAGCAGAGACAACAGGAAGTTGATGTTACTTTAGAATTTTCAGAAAATGAATATAGATTTATATCTCGCCCAGACAAGTATCTTCTGAAACATTTAACCTTTGCAAAACCTCCGCTAATTTCCTCGCAATATTCTTTGGCCCTTTTGTTATCGCAACTTGAAGCAGAGTCAGATCTTGTTTGTTACGAGCATTAGTAACAGCTCCCAATTCATCAGCTTTCAAGTCTTTCATTTTACCGATGATCCCTGCATTGGCTTTTTTGGCTAGCTCAAACAGCTTGTGAGTAAGATTCAGTAAGGCTTTGATATCATCATTCTGGGCAAGATCGAGGGGTTTTTTCCCTTCTTTATTTTTAATATTGTACACTGCTCCATACTGCAAAAGCTTCTTCACGATGTCGACATTTGATGCAATGTGTAGAGCGCCTGTGCCACCTGTCGTCGTTTGAATATTGATGAAATGGTTCAACTTCCCATCGACAGAATTCACATGTTGCAGGAGGGATTCAACGATCTTACTGTAACCTTTGGAGGAAGCTATGTGTAACGGCGTATTACACTTGTTAGTAACAAGCATTGCATCTGCTCCGTTTTTTAACAGAAGCTGTACCATGTCTTCATATCCGTTCAGGACAGACCAGTATAATGGAGTGCCGCCTCCAACGTCATCTCTTGCATTGACAATGCATTTTTCTTTGCAGAGTAGTTCTGCTGCTTGTCCTTCATCACACGATTTAACAGCTTCAAATAGTTTTTCGACTGCATAAAATACATTGCAGATCTTATCATCTGCGGTCAGTTCAGAGGGAGTTTTACCTTCCTTGTTTTTTGCATTAAAAATAGCGCCATTTTCAAGAAGCAGCTTCACAATGTAAAGGTTGCTATTTTTGGTAGCAATATGAAGAGCAGTAGTTTTATCGGTTGAAGTTTTTGCATTGATGAAGCAATTTTTTTCAATAGGACTGAGTTTTCGACCATGCTGAAGTAGCGCCTCAGTGATTTCATTGTTATCTTTCGAGACAGCCAAGTGCAGTGTACTGTTACCTTTGGTTGTGAGCTGTGTAATATCAGCTTTGTTTGCTAGTAAACTATTCACGGCATCAATGTTGCTGTTACTCACTGCAAAGTGCAATGGCATTCTACCACTGGAATTTTTAGCATTAACCATAGCTCCAGCTTCAATACAAACTCGGAGTTGGCAGCTATCATTCCTGCCAACAGCGTCAAACAATTTTTCAACTCGTTCTAGTAACTGAATAACTTTTGCATTTCCAGACATCTTGGCGAAATCCAGGGGTACAAGATGCCTCCCCAATGCCTTTGCTCTGGCATCAAAGTGGGCCCCTTTAGAAAGTAGAGCTTCGGCCATTTCGAAGCTCCCAGATTGAGCTGCTAGATGTAACGGTGTGGCTTCTTGGCCCTTAATTGGAGCATTAACGTCTGGTTTATGCATCAACAGGATATTTAATACCCTTGGATGTTTATATTGAGCTGCAAGATGCAGAGGCGTACCATTTTGGTTGTCTTTGGCATTAACATCAGCTCCAAACTTCAAGAGCAACTCGGACATCTTTTCGTTACCTTTTTCAGTTGAAAAATGCAAAGGAGACCAATTGGTATGGTCCTGCGCATTGACGTTTGCTCCCTTTTCCAACAAAACTTGGGTTACTTCTAAATATCCGTGATCTACAGCAAAATGAAGAGGTGTAGTGCTTTTTTCAGTTTTTGCATCAATGTTGGAAACCTTTTTGAGGAGAGTTTTAACAACTTTTAAATTACCATCATAAGCAGCACAGTGCAATGGACTCCACTGACGATAATCTTGGGCATCAACATCAGCACCGTTTTCAATCAAATAGCTTAGAATTTCGATGTAGTTTTGTTCAGATGCCAAATGAAGGGGGCTCCTGCCATCAGAAGTCCTAGCATTGATGTCAGCACCCTTCTGAATTAAAGCCTGAACGATTGGCAGAGAAAATCCATTGTAACAAACATTGTGAAGGGGAGTCCAGTTTAGATTGTCGCAAGCTTTGACATTGGCTCCATTCTTGATTAAAAAATCACTAACTTCAAAGTGACTTTGCTGTAGTGCTAGATGCAGGGGAGTGAAATACTCATCTGTAGTGTCTTCTAAGTTAGCATTATTCGCAATAAGGGCCTTAACAACCTGCATGTGCCCGCGCTGAGCTGCGTAGTGTAAAGGTGTCTCATTTCTCGATGTTTTCGCATTGACATTAACTTTGCGTTGCAACAAAGAATTCACAGTCTTGATATCACCCGCACCAGCAGCCTCATGTAACTTTGTGTAATCCTTCACAAGGCAACAAAAAGAGAATACTCGATTGGGATTCATGATTAGACTTTAGGAACAGTGGACTAAAAAAGTGAATTTATACTGATTAGAACTCCAGGTTTCAATCTAGCACCAAACAAAATCCACAAAGACTTGAGAGGGGGTACTTATAAAAATTACATTACCTTGCCACAAGCGTCTGATCGGCAACCTCATAGCCACGCAACGATATCAATTGTCACTTTATCAGCACGAAGTAAAGTATGTACTTAGGATTCATCTCGCGTTTATTTACATTCCACAGTCCACGCACATGCCTCATATTTCCGATCCGCATGTGGGTGGGTGAGCAAGGAGGTGAGGAGGAGCGACATGGTTGAAGTGAGGTTATCGTAAAGCTGACATCTTGAAAATTAGTCTTGACGTAAAGACGGACATAGCATTATCAGCCAATGAAAGTGAAGCTTCAGCCCTTCTACGGCTCAACCTGTGACGTCAATCGTCATTTACTCTCCCGTTTTACCCGTTCACCGGTTCACTTCACTTTTGAATTTTTGATCTACCCTAACCTTACCGTTTGTTTTGATCGTGATACTGGTCGAAGTTTTAAGACTCTTTTTAAAAATTATGTCAGTTTTTTCCGTAAATTGATGATTTGCAATATCCCCGACCGTTACGTGCTTTCATGAAAGCTCATGAACTACTCCTTTAAGTTACCTCCTGTGCTGTGGAGTATTGAAGAGTCATCTCTGACCGTGCGTCCTCCATATCAGTTTTCAGAATGTTTAATTTGTTGAGACCTGTTCCCATTCTTCAGAAGTATATAACATCTTGCTCAGTCCTGCCGAAAGCCTTTTTTGCAACGGACACTCTAGGTAAAATTCCATTTTCTCTTTCTTGTTTGCTATCAGGGCCACCTGAGGGGATTCGTTAAGCTCTCTGTCGAGCTGGCTTGCGATTCGTCGCATCGACTAAGTAAAAACTCTGCAGTTTTTTGATTTATAGCCAAGAATAGGATGGTAGCCCTGCGTATGAGCCTTAGGAATCATTCAAAACTCAAAAATTGGTGAAATGAAGGAAAATGAAAGCAGGATTCCGATAGGAGAAAACCTTTCATCCGATACCGAAATTGATGACTGTGTTGAATGCGAGGTTTTTTTCCTAACAGGATTCTGCTTTCATTTTTTTAAATTTTGCTAGTTTTTTGGTTTAGATTTGGCTTCGGTCATCATTTGTTGAGTTAAAAGTTTAACTTTGTTAACGTTAAAACGCATCAATTGTGCCATCTGAATGCATGAAAATTATTTCTGAAAGATGCTGTTTTGGAGGTAACCCAAAATTTTATTTTGTCCGAACAGTGTAGATGCACATTATGAGCCCTGAGAAACATCTAATTTCTGACTAAAACCAGCAGGAATTGGTTATTTACTTAGCCTGAAGGTATATCACGGTTTCAAAATGGGTTCTTGAAAGACGGAATGTAATTCTTAATGAATATCTACTGCTACAAAGGCATTGAGGTGAATTGATAGACGCTACATTTTGTATCGTAATGAAATGCGATATATTGTATGGGCTAGTTCCATGTTTTCAGCTACTTGCCATTTTTATTGAATTTTGAGATCGCATTTCTATTTTCATTAGACTAAAGAATTACTAACTTCTTCAACATAGAATAAAAGTATGACAAACGTAGGATCTTTTTGTTATTATATAAGAGGAGGAAGGGACTGAATAATTTGATGGATGTCATTGAAGTATAATTCAATCTAGACCGCGCACTAGGCCCGACTTTAGGTAGGGGAGGTAAGACAGCTAGGAGGGTAAATCAGAGTACTTAAAGACGCACCTTCAGCTTAGTTGATACAGCCAGATATACGATCGAAACGTACCAGGCAACGGCACTGGCTCTCTGGCAAGACTGGCATTTCCATTGTCTCGGTATATATTGCCGGTACACTTGCTGGGTTGCCTATCGTCTCGCCTGAAGGTACTCAAGTCTTGCCAAAATTTCCTAATGCGCGGTCTAGATTGTATTATACGTCAATGATGGATGTGGACAATACAAGAATCATGGATAAGAAGGTAGGGAGGCGAATGGAAGTGAAATTTAGTGAGGACACCATAGTGGATAGGATGATATTTTTAAAGGAACGAGGGACTGTTTGATGTTTGGATGTGACAGGTGGGAACATTTAGATATCAATGGTTTTAAGAAAACGGTAGTTAGGGAAATGATTAGGTTTCAAGAGGCAAATCGGAGAAATGGGAGGGTTGAAAAAAGGACTGAATGGGATTAACCCTGTGGGTTATTCGAATAAAATAAAAGAAAAAAAACAACGGAGGCAGGGCTCTCTTTCGAAAATAAATACTGCATTTGACACTGATACTTGACTGCACTTGAATGCGATATTTTTCCTCAAAAAAACCCCGCCTTTATTATGATATTATTCACGGTAAGTACCTAAGTGAATTCTTTAGTCTTGAGACAACAAAAATGCAATCTCAAAATTCAATAAAAATGACAATTAGCTGAAAATATGAAACTAATTGATGCGATGTATCGCAGGTTGCTCTGACACAAAAAATGGCATCTATTAAGTAAATTATCTCAAAAAGTGTTATTTTCGGTCGAAGAGTGAAAAGGCAGTATCTTCGCCATTTTGAACCTAAAGTTGGTGCACCAATAAACTTGTGGACTAAATCATCTTTGGCACTGAATAATGAACCACTAAACAAGGTACGAATTGAAGCATTCTGATACACGTCTCTTGACCAGAATTTCTCGTAGAAGGAGATTCTTGCATCAAAAATTACTGACATCAACTCTTAACTAAGATATCAATTTTTTTATTATTTTATATTGGTCACAGGAAATTTCAATAGCCTGGTAACTAAAACTGAGCTAAAACATCAAGATTGAGGTTGCCAGATTTTTACATCATGAAGACTTTCATGGTAATGTTTAGTGCTCGATTTGACTTATGTAGACTATTGAGTTTTCATAAGCGGAAGGTTTGAATTCACGTGTCAAGAAACATGAAATATCTTTGTTAGTTGTCAATTTCAGTAATTTTCGCTGCGCGAATCATGTTCTATGTAAAATTTTAATTACTTAGGAAATATGTATCAGAATGCTTCACTTCGTACCTTGTCTAATGGTCCATTTTGCAATTTAGTTAGGAACCATTCAATCATTCTGTATAGAACCGACTTGAAATATTTTGTGGTTTGAAATCCAAACTAGCGAAGCACTTTAGTCACTATAAGGCTTTACTTGGATTTGTTAAACTGTAAATCAGCCAAAATTTTCAGAATTGCAGGGCTGAATCAAGCATAAATCCACTAGAATGATCCAAGGCAAAGTTGGTTCCAGAAAATGCCGGTTTCTGTTCTCAGAATGTTTTGTGGACGTAGTCCAGAGTAAATCATTTTCAGTGAGGTAGGCGAGGGTTTATTTTTTTAAGGGGGAGGGAGGGGGCAAAATGTCAAGATTTATTTTGAGAACTTTTGAGATTTGTTCTGTCTCTATTTTTCCCAAAATATATTGGAAGATGATCCTGAAAAGCGACAGGGACGTCCCGTGAAGAGATGGCTGCAGGGTGTTGACAAAGATATGTTGCGGTGTCAGTTGCCAGATAACCTCTGGAAAGATAGGCATTTGTGGCGTTTGGGTGTTGCAGAACGCCAGAGTGCGTTGTTGGAGTGACTTTTATGTAGGTATGATGCTGCGTGCATGAGTTAATGTTCCTAAGAAATTTCACAGAAGAGATAACTTTTGGCTGCTCTTCAATGTAAAAACTTATGTAAGCTTATTTATGTTTAATGGTAAAGATTCAAAACTTTATAGCCCATTAGTTTTTGTGAAGGAACTGTTAAGTTGTACAATTTCTTTTCATTCAATCTAAACTTTTTTCAAAATAAATCACCTGAATTTTCTTTTTCAGCAACCGCTGCACTTGGTAAAGCGAAGAAGAAAACAGCAGGGAAAGCAGCTGGAAGCTCAGAGAAAATACGACTTCCCGTGGAAACGGACACCAACCGACTGGTCAATTATGTTTGTGGCACCAATCTTTTGAAAGAAGGTGGAGAAGATGTCAAAATAGGTCCTGATTCTGATTACCCAGATTGGTTATTTGAACTATATGTTGGTAAGTTAAGCATCCAGAGCATACTTAAATCATTCCCTATCATTGTATCAATTCCTTTAAACTTGCTTGAGATTGTATGTTGCCAGTGTGTCACCTCTCTCTATAGGTACTAAAGACAGGAGCAGACTGGCAAGCAGAACACTGAGAAAAATTCCTGTTGGCTGGTTATCTCCCTCCTACAGGAAAATAATAACAAAAATAGGCCAGCCCAAGTACTGATAGGCCGATATTCCCGGTTATTTTTTCGGTTGCAGTCTGCCCCTGACTCGAGAACATTCAGTCTGCTGAATTTTTGGCGTGTAAAAATTAGTGTTTCTCCTGCATAAACTGCCAATCAACACTTCGCAGTTACCCTTAAATTTTAAAATTTTTGATTATGTGAAGAGATTGCAACCATAAAAAAAGAATGCATACATTAAAAATTAAACATGGCATAAACGTCAGACCAATCATTTTAAAAGAAGTTAACAAAAAGTGGAGGTCGGACACATTGAAGAGCTACTACATGTATAGAAATAGAGAAAGTTGCCTCAACCTGAAGTTCCCCTAACCGAATTATTTCTTTAAAGTTCTGAGATCTGGCAGTATGGTACCCCAGTACCATAGTCTCAGGTCGAAAAAGCACTACAAATACAGTGAAACCACTCGACAGGGTAAGAATTAAAGGTCCACAAAACAACATGTCACCTTGTGGAAAGAAAACATTGAAGATTTCCATAATCGATTTGTATTTGTTTGATATATTAAGATAAATTAGAGTCCATAGTTTGCAAGAGAATCTTTGACTTTAATTTTTCTGCTCACAGAAAAGTCAGTCAACATAGGTCAAAGCAGCCACTGAAACTTGTGATTTTTTGGCAAATAATCAGACTTTGGTTTCATATCAATTTTTTACTCTCTTCTGGCAAATAGTATGTCTCCACTCAGGGATGAACATCTGAACTTAGAAAAAATTATCTAATCTTATAGCATGCCAAGGTTTATGTCGTGACAGGTTTGACTCAAGTAAACGTCAGTTTTTTGATAAGCAGGACTCCTAAATCTTTGAGAACATAAAAATCAAGTTTCTCTCTTATGAATTGAATTTATAAATCTTCAATATGTTCACAAAGTTACCACAGTCAGGTTATACTGAGTAAACCAGGAAATATCTGGGAAAGTGGCAAAAGTGTTGGGGAAAAATTGTTAAGTCACCTTTATTTACTTTCTATAATGAGTTTGATGTTCCAAACTATAAACTTTGCCTGAAAATTATTTCAAACTATGCCTCTTGAACCATCTGGCATATCGACAGTGAATCAGACCACATATTTTGTTTGTGGTGTTCAAAAATCTCCACTCCCATTTTATTATTTTTTCAAGGAAAACAAAACAATATCATTCCTTGTAGTAGGTATTCACAGAGTTTTCTTCACACAGAGAAAAAAAAATCACGGAAGTTTTCAACAATTGATGTTGGGTACTTTTCCATTTAAAAAATGAAGTATGACAGGGAGTCTGCAGCCGCAAACCAAGATACGTAGTCTGGTAGTTTCACTGTCGAAATCTCCAATTTTCAGGAAATTTTACCAAAACATCGAAGTGTGTGAAACAAAATGTGTCAGGGGAATTAATTTTCTTAATTACTCATTTAGGCGACCCTGTGTTCATCAAGTTTAATGTGAAATTTTGATAAGGAAAGATGAACGATGGTGCCTCATTTTTAACTATCTAGTTAATCTGCATTTTGCCGTTTGGAACTACAATTGCTGGTTCATACATAAAAACACCCATCTACATACGGAAACTAATGGAACGCATAATTTATCTGTAATGAGCTAGAAACTGTAGTTCCTAATTTGCTAAATTCGGTCCAGTTTCCCACTAGTTACACCAGTGATGGGGAAGAACCTGAAACACGTTAAGGCTCCTAAATTTTGTTATTGTAATTGAGTTTCATTTTGTTTATGAACACGAAGCATAGCAAAAACTATCCAGACATTAGGAGGCCCACTATTTGCTCGGTCAATGTCATTGTGGCAATTCTTTAAAATTCAGGTCTAATTTTTTTTAAAAAATACTCGTGATAATGCTTTCATTAAGTACTTCAGAAGTTGTAATTTTAGCCTGTTTTAATTATCATGTTTAATATGTTTTCACGTTAATGACAGCGTAATTTTCCCATAATTGACTAATCATTCACCTCTCTGATTTTCTAGGACCAGCGAAGAAATTATCTGAGCTCGAACCTGGCTCTCTACAATATTGGAGAAGAATAAATAAATTGTATATTAGAAAAAGGAGGAAGGAATCCATGCTACGGAAGGCTAAATAAGGTCATAGACTTTTCTCTCTTCTTCCATTTCTGTAGATACTTAAGTTCTCGCATTTTGTAACATTTTTAAGGAAAATAAAACTGATAGTCACTGTTTTGTTTAACTCTGTCATTCCTGTTTTTCTAACCTGATAATTTTTTTACCATCAATGGAATGTATTGCAGAAATCCTGGAAGATCATAGGTTTTCGCTTGTTGGGATTTATTTTTCAAGATTATCTGGTTTTAATTCACTAAAAATGTAAGATAACCGTGCGACTTTGGGAGAAATATTTCTTACCCAAAAGAGCGAAAGGGGACAAAACTAATCAAACTTTCATTTTGAGCTTCTAAACTCTCATCCATGTTCCTTCCAAATTTTGCTAATTCTAAATCATTCAATGAACAATTAAAATTTAGCCATCGGTAGCAGTACATACCTACCCTAGCAGCAATGAATGTTGAAATTTTTTTAAAAACAACTTGTAACTAGGCCTGTTGCAAACATTTGCTAGAGCATAATTACGGGTGTTTTCCATCAGCAAATGTCTCAAAAATCACGATGAGCGCATTGGCAAAATTTAAAAAGCACTCCTAACTTCACAATTTGCCTAAGAAATTTGCTTTTTTTGAGCTTCCTGCTTCCGAAACCATACTATGGCATAGGTGAACATTTCGTTATACCCATACTCATTCCATTGAACTCTTCAGCAATAGCAATATCCATCATAGCCGGCGCTTCAGCGCGCAAATCGCAAGCGGGAGCACAAGGTCAACCAAAGTGGATCTTTATCAACGTGAAGAAATCGTGAATGTGAACAGGCTGAGTTGTTAACAAATGGTTAGAATCTCGTCCAGGCACATGTGTTTGGGGGCAGATTGGTGTCGGTCATGTTGAATATTGTGTAGTATCTCAGTACACGTGGGTTGGATAAAACGGCACCTCTTGCCTACTAAATGTTCACCTGTGCCATAGTATCGTTTTTGAAGCGGGAAGCTCAAAAAAACGCGAATTTCTCACGCAGATTGTGAAGTTAGGAGTGCATTTTAAACTTTGCCAATGTGCTCATCGTGATTTTTGAGACGCTTATTGATAGAAACGGCTCTTATTTTTGCTGTAGCAAAAGTTTACAACAGGCCCATTCTGGGAAGACAACTAATTAATACATTGTTAAAATTGATGTTTTAGGAAACCCTTTTAGGGTATTTTCTCAAGTAAAATGTGTGAGAAGCAAGTCAAAAATCTGAGTGAAAGAAGTGTCACAAATTTCTTCAGAGATTTACTTTAAACTGTTTTCACATTTAAGATGTTTGAAAGAAATTAAAAAAGTATCAATTTCTTTTTTAAAAACTTATGTTCGTATATTTTATCAGGCATAAACTTAACTCCAAATAAATAAACCAATAAAGGTTTTCTGAGACATGATTTTTAACAGTTTTTGTGAGAGCTTTTGAAAGCGCGCTTGAAAGGTCTTTACCTACTTATTCAACAGGTTAAAGTGGGCAAGTATTCATAGCTTGATGGGTTTTTTTTTTTTTTGTCACTGAGAGCCCAACTGATTGTAGTATGGGATCAATATTTTTGTCTTAGGAGTATACAGTCCGTGAAGAAATTCTGAAAAAGTTTTAATTAAGTATTACAGCCAAACAGCATTTATTTACACTTTATGTACAGTTTAAAAAAATATTTTCTCTACTCAGTTTATTTAGTATACAGAACAAGTGGTACTTATTTTAAAACAATTAGACTACCAATACAAGCATATTTACATTACTTGAACGTTCACAAATGAATGCTCATCCTTCCCAATTTTGAGGAGGAAAACCAAGGAATTTTTTGTTTTGTTCATACATTTCTAAAGATTCCGCTGAGGTTTCTAAATAAATCAATGTAGTTGTAAAGAGCAGAAAAACGATCCCCCACACTCTCTAAAATGAAAAAATATTTCCAGAACTCAGGTATACAAAAAAGTAAAGGAATTCTTTCAGAATCGTGTTCGGAAATATTTCGGTCAATAACAAGTCATACTAGAGTTTAGGGTATGATGTTACCTCTCTTATGGATGATTTTACAAATTATGAGCCTCAAATAGGGATTTTTTGTAAGATTTAGATTCAAGGCACTCTTATTTTTTTCTGATTCTCCACCTCACACACTTTTTCCCATGAACTTTCAAGATGCAATTATTGAGGAACCTAATTGTGCCATTTTATTCACAACCTGAGAGGGATGAGTAAATAAATGGGAAGAATCTCAGAGATCGCCGGCACAAACTTGATTTTCCTCAAATTCAAGTCTCTTCATATGTTTTTGATATTTTTGAGAAGCAAAGAAATAAAAGCCTCCAAAAACGATCGCATTTGATGCCTTCAAATCGAACTCAAATGTGACAAAATTTGTCCGATTGTTAGCCAGAAAAATCTATTGCGCAGTCACCTCAATCCCTGAAAACAGAATATGCAATTTTTCCAGTTATTAAATTGCTCTCTGAAATCGATCTTTCGATGTAATCACTTTGAATTTGTTATGCTTAATTAGGTAGCATGTTTCAACGGAAAAATCGGGATAAATTGCAATTCTATCGGCGATAAAATCGCTCGGATCATCAGCATCTGAGCAATCATCCTCGATCTTATCGGGATAAAATCGCGATTTTATCGTCCGGCAATTTATGACGATATTTTCAAATAAAAATCGCGATAAATGGCGATTTAATGTCGACTTTATCGACGAGCTTCTCGGCGGCAGTGTGCCCCAATAGCAGGTTGCAATGAGTTGCCATCGCATGGTCATAACCCCTGCGCAGGAGTGTAACGTATGTTGCCTACCGACTAATTGAAGGGGGTTCCTCTCAATTGATCGAACTAAGTTGCAGTTTTTCTTTACATTGCATATTGCCTGTCTTTCTGCTACTTTTAGACATTTTATTTGATTATATCATTTAAAATCGGCATTATTCATCAAATAGGGAGGAACAAATTAAACACTTCATGGCCAAAAATTTGAAATTTTTTCAGTACATATAAATTAAAAAGATAAGTAATAAATTTATGGGAAAAAGAATGTGGCGAGAATTATCCAGAGATTGGTCGAACTTGATCGTAACGCAAAAATGCACATTGACATGGGCCTACAAACCTAACGGGATACTTCACGCATTGCGCAATGCTTGAAGTATCCACTTAGGTTTGTAGGCGCCAATGCGCTGGCCGGTCGCTCGCCGCGCGCCGCAGCGTACATCAACTCAGGTATGAGGCTACAGGTAGCAAGATCCATCCACATAGGTCAGTCATTCCCAAAACCCGAATGAGAATCTTCTGCGCATGACGTCAGCATTGCTGCCGCGAAAACCAGAAAAGTCGGAAGCAATGCTTTTCTTATGGGAGAGAGCAAATTTTTCTTAATGAATCATTAAAATGTCTCATTTTTAAATCGTTTGAAACTTTCTGAGTGTCGAAAAGAACGTTTAGACATTTGCGTCCAGGGTTTCAATTCAGCTGAATTTGCGTTTTTATATTTTTAAATGATTTTTGAAGTCAGCGATTATAACAAGCCATCTAGTGGTATAGATTCGCGTGTAAAAATGGCTGATGCAGAGTAAACCGTAAAAATGAAAGAACATAAATTCGGAAAAATCGAAACCCTGAGTGATAATGTCTAAACGTTCCTTTCAACACTCAGAAAGTTTCAAAGGACTTAAAAGTAAGAAATTTGAATGATTCATTATGAAAAATTTGTTCTCTCCCATAAGAAAAGCATTGTATCCGTGCTTTTTCGCTTTCGCGGCAGTACCCGGGTAAAAATTGGCGATAGTAGCTGCGTTTCAAAATACCATGGGAGTTCTTATAGCCGACTGAAGAAGGCGATAGAAAATCATACAGCTGGCTGTAGAGAGTGGAAAAAATCATGCGACCGGGCTACACAAAGCGATAAAAAATTATACAGCCAGGCTATAGTTCCTATCGCCGGGCTTTATACTTTATCGCCTGGCTGTTGCTTTTTCGCCATCGATTATAAAAGGCTATAAGAAATTGTGTAGAAATTCGTGTGTTTTGTAAATCCTTAAGTTTGTACGGAATCACCTTAATATATTTACAAAACGCACATCATATTTTCCTTTACTACATCTTTTTTTCATCAATTAAAATGAGAATAAACCATACAGAGTGTGCAAACATTTCAAAGTCATGAGTTGAAATACGCTGACTCCGCGAGATTAAATATTAGAGCCTGACACAAAGCGGAGTGGCGACGCACTGGCGCCTACAAACCTAACAGGGATACTTCACGCATTGTGCAATGCGTGAAGTATCCCAGTTAGGTTTGTAGGCGCCAATGCGCGTTTCGCGCTGGCTGCCCGCCCGCCGCGCCGCAGCGTACCGCGGCGCTTGAAGCAACTATTTCACACCAGAGGTATTGCACAGTATCATGCAAAATTGAAGGCGCTCCAACATATTAGGAATGGCAGGCGTCCTTCAAAAGTACGGAGCTTTCCTCGCAAAATAAATCAAGATACTCCGGCCCAAAAAGAGAGCGGTAGTCCAAAAACTCATTAAGTCCTAGCATCCGTAATTAGTAACGTTTAGCATACACTTTATCGCCAGGCTGTTGCTTAATCGCCATCGGCCATAAAAGGCTATAAGAAATTGTGTTGCCGGCTATAGAAGCTATGGAAATTTTACAGCCGGCTGTAGGTCTATGGAATTCTGGAACACAGATTCTACTGCCAATTTTTACCAGGGTAATGCTGACGTCACGAGCCAATGGATGGGGCTTGATGGGACTTACCTCGAGCGGGGGGAAATCTGCGCAATGACTGACCTATATATGGATGGATCTTGACAGGTAGGCGCGCAGATACCTACTGCTCTACGTCGCTCATGACCCGACTTTGCTACGACTCTCAATAGACCAACAATCACTTGCCACGGCGGAGGGAAATGTATCCCCTAGTTGCAGTGACGATTAATAACTCTCGGAAGTTATAAAATGCACCCCAAATTTGAGACCCTTCTGAGTATTTTTAATAAGTGAATTTACATTTAAAAAAGTGTTGAAAAGCTTTTCAAAAGATCCAATGTAGTTTTTAGCACTAGAAGTGTTCACAATTTTTTTTTTATATAAATAATTTAAACATGAGTAGTATTTTTTTCAATACTCTTTTTAAAAGTAAATTATTTCACCAGACTTAAATTTTACTTTTAAAAAAAACCAAGAAGGGTCTCCCGACATATACTTTTTAGGGGCGGCTCATGAAATACCTAACACTAAGAGAGGGAGAGAGGAGTTGGGGGGGGGGGGGGGGGGAGGTTGAGGAGAGCATTAAACGCCATTTTGTTTTTATGTGTAACAGGATAGGGACCAATGGGACCAACGACACGAAAGTACCTAAGCGTTAAACGGGAGGGCAGAGAGTACAAAAATCCGAAATTAAGCAATACGTATTTTATGTACCGTCCCTACGTTCATACTGTTAAACATTATGAGTGAAATTCTGTGCCGGGTTCAAGAAGCGCCCAAAAACCCCGAGTTATATGAATGCGGAGCGGAATTTATTTCTCAAGTACCACGGAGTGACATTCACACTATTACGGAGCAAAATCCACATGTTTTTCGGAGTTATGTACATTCGCTTTTATATGGTGTTAATTTCACTTCGCACTCATGACACTTGGGATTCTTGGTAGTAGCGCTGTTTCACCCAAACTTTGAGGGGGGATGGGGGGAAAGTAACTTGAAATGACTCCTAACATGATAGGTACTATGATTGAATAAAAATTAGACTGCATTATGCAATTTGGAACTACAAATTATGGCTCAGTTTAGAAGTAACGTACATACCGTAAGTTTTTCCATGTACATAAGTGTTTTTACGGATGAGCCAGAAATCGCAGCTCCTAATTGCAAAATGTAGACCAATGAATATTAAAAAAAAAAAAATAAATAAATATAAAATCAAGTTTTCAGCAGTGTGATACATTTTGATAGTTTATTATCTAGGCTTCCTGAAACGTAGGGAGAAGAGGGGGTTGTTTTGACACCCCCCCCCCTCCAGATAACGCCATCGGTTAGTGGGCGGTATGGACTCCGGTGCAAAATTCCATTCCTTGATTTTTAACAGAGTACCATTCTTTTAAGAGCGCCGAAATAAAATTCCGGCTCGGAAGCCGTGCCTACGGGCTATATAAACGTACCGTTCGCGTTCCGAGCTTAGAGGCTGTTTCCGGGCGTAGCATCCGGAGCAGTTGAAGTTACGGCCCCAGCACCCGGAACTTCTAGCCTCTGAGCCCGGAACGGACGGTATGTCTATATTAGGCCGTAACTTTTTTTCAGTGAGTGTTCGATTAAAGTACCTTTATAGGGAGAGTATGAACAACTCAATTTATGCATAGAGTACACACATAGAGTCGTGATGTAAATGAGAGAGCTGTGGCGCCATGTTCTGGTCGACGAGCTCCGAGCCCGGTGTGCGCCGAGCTTGGGTCACTTTTTCGATACATGTTCGATCCAAAATGGCGGTGTGGAATACGTAGTAATTCTTATCTTCTTTGTTTACATCGGATGGCCGGGTCCTCGTGTACCGAAGACAATCGATTATGTATCGAAAATGTAACCCGGCGTCACACAGGAGTCTCGGAGTTCGAGACCTGGGAAATGCTTAAAAGAGGCGCCAGCTCTCCCCCTTACATTACGACTCTATGCACTCTATGGATTTATGTAGCTCTTAGGGACCAAAAGGGCGTCAACGTGTAAAACGAAAATCACTAGAAAAACGCCGCTGCCAACCTATGCATTTGAAAGATAAATCAATATAACCGACAGCGCGTTGGAAACAAGCGTCTTCAAGGATTAAGACTTTGAAACTGAGAACATTTATGCGAAATCAAAGTTTAATACGTGATTTTATAATTTATGAAACGACGGGCAGTATGTGGAATAATGAGTAGGTATCACTGAATACTTCGAGTTCATAGGTTGACCGCCCTTTTGGGCCCCCAGAGCTACACTGGTGGTAAGGAAGAACGCCGTATGAGTCTTCAGACGTTGCCAAGTTTCCTTCGATAAAAACCAAATTTATCAGAGTAATTGTGAATATTTCCCCCCGAAGTTCTCATACAATTTTCTACGGAATTTAATCTAAAATATCTGGAATTTTCAAGGAAACATATGCTTAAATTTTTTCAAAAATACATGTTTTATCAAGGGAAATTTGGCAACTCTTGAATGTTCATACGGCATTTTTCCTTCCCAAGTAGCAAAATAGAATTTTTTCCAGAAAAAAAATATTAAGAAAATTTCTAGAAAAAACAAAGAAAATGAGAGTTATCCAGAAAATAGAAAGAAAAAACATTGCGCGAGTCAAAAGTCTGACCAAAGAAAATAGATCTATTTCATAGGTCTACTTTCCGTCAACTTCCCACTTGGAAAAAAGATGGAAAATTTATTGAAAGTAGAATTATTTTCTAACCAATTTCTCAATGTTTTCTTTTAAGTAAATGCAAGGAAAAATGTATTTTCTTTCTATTTTCTAGATCTACTTTATACCTATTTTCTTTCAAGAAGATTGTTCCCTCTAGAAAGTGGACATTTTCTTGATGAGCGCCACCTAGATAGTAGATGACAATGCTACTTGGATTAGCATGGCAGTACACGACCTGATCAAATCTAGCCTCTAAATTTTCGAGTTGTCCATGGTCTCCCTATAAGGTAAGTACTCTATGTTGGATCATTGGTTTTGGAGGGTCATCATGGGCAGGAGGGTGGAAGTAGAGTACCTTTATTGAGAGAGTATGGCCACTGGTGTTACCACCTCTGATTGGCTCAGCCATCTTAGGCGGAATGGAGCCCTTAGGACCCAAAAATGGCGGACGCCATGAAATAATATAATGCAAAATGACTCAAAATGTAGTTTTTTTTGCTTATCGTAACGGGAAATTTACTCAAATGCACTCTTGCGACTTCTTTACATATTTTTAAGACTAATCGTGTGCGATTTTTGAGAAAAATTATCTTAAATGTAGTAAGGTTGGCAGCAAGTACGGTTGGTAGTAACCGTCAAAAGTTGGCAATGACCCCCCTCCCATCCACAAAAACCAAAACAAAGCACCGCCATTTTTGGGTCCTAAGCCTCTCCATGGGGCCCAGTGGCCATACTCTCTCAATATAGGTACTCTACACGGCAGTACACGACCTGATCAAATCTAGCCTCTAAATTTTCGAGCTGTCCATAGTCTCCCTATAAGGTAAGTACTCTATGTTGGATCATTGGTTTTGGAGGGTCATGATGGGGAGGAGGGTGGAGGATCAGAGCATGTGGTCGCTGGTCTGGGAGGAGGTGGCTAGGTGTCTGTGGTCGGCGCGCGACTCGAGGGTGATGGTGAATCATTCAACGTTGCGGACGGAGATGCCGATGTTGGGGAGGCGGATGTCGGGGGCGCAGGCCGTTGTGAGGGAGGAGTTGGTCCGGGTCCGGACCTGCCGGCTCCGGTGGTGCCGCGTCCGGATGTTGAAAGCCCCGTAGACGATCGGGTTCATGCACGAGTTGGTGCACGCGAACAGGAACAGCCCTTTCTGGATCTTCTGGTCCACCTTCTTCGCCGAGGACTCGTCGATCCAGTACCTGAAACCAGAAACGGGAAATTCAGTCAGAGGCCGTGGTGCAAATTATGGACTACATTTTGCAATGCTGCCGTGATAGCGATGAGAGCAGTACCCTGGTAAAAATTGGCGATAGGAGCTGCGTTTCAAAATACCATAGGAATTCTTATAGCCGGCTAAAGAAGGCAATAGAAAATCATATAGCTGGCTGTAGAAAGTGGAGCAAATCATATAGCCGGGCTATACGAAGCGATAAAAAAGTATGCAGCTGGGCTATAGTTCCTATCGCCGGGCTTTACACTTTATCGCCATCGGCTATAAAAGGCTATAAGAAATTGTGTAGAAATTCGTGTGCTTTTGAAATCATTAAGTATTCGATACGGAGCCAACATAATATTCACAAAACACACATTATATTTTCCTTTAATACATATTTTTTTTCATCAATTAAAATGAGAATAATCCATACAGGATGTGCAAACATTTCAAAATCATGAGTTGAAAAACGCTGACTTCGCAAGATTATATTGGAGCATAACACAGAGCGGAGCGGCGTGCTGCCAGCGATAAGCGCGGACTAGCGCCTACAAACCTAACAGGGATACTTCACGCATGGCGCAATGCGTGAAGTATCCCTGTTAGGTTTGCAGGCGCCAATGCGCGTTTTGCGCTGGCTGCCCGCCCGCTGCGCTGCGCCTCAGCGTGCCACGGCGCTTGAAGCAACTATTTCACACCAGAGGTATTGCACAGTATCATACGAAATTGAAGGCGCTCCAACATATTAGGAATGGCAGGCATCCTTAAAAGTAGCTTTCCGCGCAAAATGAATCAAGATACTACGGCTCAAAAATAGAGCGGTAGTCCAAAAACTCACTAAGTCCTAGCATCCGTAATTAGTAACATGTAGCACACACTTTATCGCCTGGCTGCTGCTCAATCGCCATCGGCTATAAATGGCTATAAGAAATTGTGCAGCCGGCTATAGAAGCTATTGAAAATCTTACAGCCGGCTTTAGGTCTATGGTATTTTGGAACACAGATTCTACTGCCAATTTTTACAAGGGTAAGCAAGGTGACATGAAACGTAAGAAAGAAATGAGAGATTGGAAATTTCAGTGAAATATTTTATGAAATTTCACGAGGCTGTAAAATATTTCAGGAAATTTTACGAGGCTGAGAAATATTTCATATTTTTCAGGGGCTAGAGTAAGCACTTATGCAACCCGCACCCAAACACACAAAATAGAAGAAAGTCACAATTTTTACCTTTTGCGAAACACGAAAAGAGCCGGTATTTTTCAGTATCTTTCATAACTCTCTGAAATTTCATGAAATATTTCACGTGAAATTTCAAGATTTTATTTTTCATCAAATTTTACCACCCTGGCAGTAAGTGCAAAAATGAATTTCTGAGAAAACGGGCCCAGAAGCTTCTGACTGGAAAATTTTATTCAAAAAAGCCTCCGTTCTCTGTCAAATTGCCACTAATTGTCCGAAAGACTCCTAGAAATCGTTTGGATGCTTAAAAATCGACTGATTTTATTTCCATTACATAAAAAGGGGATTTTCCATTCTTATGCTAGGCTAGTGTTACGCAAGCCAGCCGTAAGTGCTTTCTTCTGCATGCATACGTGTTTGCGTTTTGGACACGCAACAAACACATTTTCAGGTGAGGAATTGGCAGAAGAAGGTGGGACTTTACTTGAAAGCACTGTTTTCATTGACTCTCTGGAGGAATATTGTCACTTACTGCTGTCTTGCCGGAAATGGGTAATTTTTTGCGCATTTATGGCTTTCTCACATGTCTCATTTTGGTACAATTCAGATTAATTTTGCTGTTTTAGCTATTTCAGTGAATTCATCTGAAAGAGATTAGACGAATTTTGAAGGAAACTCGATTTCGAAAATTTGACACTCACTGCTCTCTTCGCTATCACGGCAGAATTATGGACTTCATTTTGCAATGGATCAGTTGCGCTGGTCACAGAATCGTCAGTTGATGATTGTAGATTAGCCAAAAATAATGAGATCCGTCCAAACAGCAAATATCTACGTTCAGTATTAGCCGAGATACCGCCCTCTATAAAGTCGGGTTTTTGACGTCATCCATCGCGGTAATGACACCCTTGATTTCTTCCACCTTTCTTTCATTTTCCAGGGAGACGCACATTTGCACTCCGACGGTGAACCTACCAGACCACGTATCTCGTTTGCGGTGTTTAAAAATCTCTGCTCCCATTTTATTTTTTCGTGGAGAAACGAGCCTTTCTGCTACAGGAATGCGCGAATTTGAAATGAAGATAATTTAAGGTCGAAGTTTGGCAAAACAGGAAGCAGTTGGAAAATAAACGCGTTTTTATGGTAACGCTAGTTTACGTTACTTTCTTGACAAGTCATCGATGTCTTACCTTCTAATGATAAATGAAGTGAAAAGGTTAAATAATGGTCGTGGGTAAAAAGAACTTTCTTAATTAACTTTTCTCAGAAAAATATTTAATCTTGAGAAACGAGGCAACGTTGGAATGCTCATACGTCGTTGAAACATAACATAGGCCTCTTAAGTTCTATATTATTCGACGCCGCGATTATTCTAATGCGAGTTCAAATAATCGGGCCGAACAGAGTGCGGCGGCGCGGCGCGGCGTTGAACATATTTTAGCGCCTGCGAGACTTTAGGAATACTTCTCGCATTGCGCCCAACGCAGTGCTATCGGTCAGTTGCCGTGAACCGCATATTAGCGCATATTACAAGACTGTAGGAGTGCTGTAGGACTGCGTGTCATCATTCTTGAATTTCTACTCCAGTTTTCACTATAATTAATGGGAAAATATGTATCCTCATCGTAACGGTCCAGAAATTCGGATGGTACTTTTTTTTTTTTTTTTTTTTTTTTTTTTTTTTTTTTTTTTTTTTTTTTTTTTTTTTTTACATTTATAGAAAATAGGACGAACGAAAATATCGAGTCGAAATTTTCGATACTTTTATTTGAGATCAATTAGGTAAATTCGCGAAAACTTTTCAAAAACATTTATTAAAAAAAAAAAAAAAAAAACGAAGAACGAAACGAGCGGGAATAAGAGAGGGCGAAGCGCCCTCTGGGGATTGGGCCGCGTAGCGGCCAGGGGGCATAGCCCCCGAGTTGCAAAATAACGTCCAATTGTTCCCGACCTCAGTCAAGTCGGACGGTCGAGACCTATTTCTGGAGGTGTCCAAAAAATCGTGGAGGCTAATTGTAAACGTTTTTTATTTGTTTGTTTTGTTTTGTTTTTTGTTTTTTCGAGGGTGTAAATATTTTCAACATTTGTGGAATAATGCTACAATGGCATACATCCAAAATTTTCGATAAGCTCGTTGTGTTGACCTCTTTGCAATAGCCCAACGCATTGCAAAAATTGGGGGGACCTCCTTGAAAACAGCGGAGGTCAGGCACAATAATCTGAACCCCTGTCTAGAAATTATACCGGTCACCACGGGTCGCTTTGCCAAAGAGGTCATACCTGATTCTGGGTCGATTTTTAGCGTCGATTCCGAAAACGATTTCAGTATATCTGGACTTTTCTAGGAAAATCGGAATTTTCCCCAAGGATCTAGCTTTTCTAGAGGAAATCGAATTTTCTCGGGAATCTGGGCTCGATAGAGAAAAACCCGGATATATTTTATATTTCGGAAAGGAGTCCGGAAAATTTAAGTCCGGAATATTTTCCGGACTCTGCGGCATAGTCAGTCCATTCGCGTTTTGCAGTGTGTTGCGTTCACAATGATGCGTAACCAGTTCCACACCTTCCGGCCGGATAATCACAAGCACCATGCGACGTTTCAAAATTTCCTTCGCCATTTTATTTTTACACAGAGAAATTTGTCAACGAAGCTGTTCGAAAATTTCACCGAATTTTCTTCCCGCTGCCGATAAAATCCGGTGAAACTTTCAAACAGAATCAACCAACAATCCCTCGGTAAAAAAATAAAATGGCGGCGGAAATTTTGAAACGTCGCATGGCGCTCCTGATAATTTGGCCGGAGGGTGACGAATCCGCTGTATGTATTTGAAAGTAAAGTTAGTAAATTTCTCGACGGGTTCAAGATTTTTCGTGAAGCTCCAGTGAACGGATTTTGGGGCTCACTTACAAAGTAACTCGAAACGCGTGGGGGCCGGTAGGATTTTTACAGGACTAATTGTTGCCAGACTGTGATGAAAATTCAGCACAATTCCCTATTTAACTCAATGTTAAATATCCAGATTTTTAAACACAATCTGGCATCTTTGACAGTACTCCGCGGATCGGGCACGGATCCATTAGGTACCCCTACCCATGCAGCTATATATTCTTTTGGCTCTTCGCACGGTGGATCGAGTCAATTAGCTAGGTCGGACATGAAATTTTTTGCTAAAACTGCAAATTTTGATGTTTTAATCGCCATATTTTAAGTTGTAAGGGGTGCCTCCAGAGGAAAATTTGACGAGGAAACCGATGGAGCCACTTTTGAAACCTCAAAGTTTAGTACGAACCGAGTTATAAGTTTACAGTTTTTGTCCGACCTCTCCCATGGACTCGACCCACTATGCGTCGGATGCAGCTATTTTCACCTCCGTTACCGATCCAAAATATAGGTACAGAATCACGGCTCTCTTATCGAATAAAAGCAAAGGTAAAAGTGCATTCAGAGCTGTCTGCGCATCCCCACTTCCGCGCGCGGAGGCGGACAGCGGCTCGATCGTGGAATCGTTATCGAATGATGATCGATATATAGCATTGCTAAGATAGGGAGCTATCGATCGAGGTCATTCGATAGTTATCGAATGATGATCGATATATAGCACTGTTGAGATAGGGAGCTATTGATCGAGGTCATTCGATAGTTATCGAATGATGATCGATATATAGCATTGTGAAGATAGGGAGCTATTGATCGAGGTCAGTCGATAGTTATCGAATGATGATCGATATATAGCATTGTTAAGATAGGGAGCTATCGATCGAGGTCAGATATCGATTCGACAATCGATCCGCAGGATTATTTCC